TTTGTACTAAAAAATAAGTCAAAATATTGATATTAAAAAAAAGGTAAGGGAAAAAAGAACAAGAAAAATATTGGATGTAAGATAAGGATGATTAGAGAGTTAATCATAACTATATAAATGTATTGAGTCCTTCCTGTTAAGTTATCTTAGTATAGTAAATGACAAATCTTAGATATATAATGATTAATATAAAACTCTAATATATATTTTGATAAAAAGAAACAGGAACCAAATATTAATGACATTTATGCAATTTGGCTTTGACACCTAATTATATAATTAATGCGTGATGGAATTAAAAGAAAAAAATAGTTGAATTTTTGGAACAGAGGTAAAAGACGAGAAAGATGGATGTCGATGTGAGAAGGACAGAAGGCAGAAAGCGAAAGGCCAAAAAGTTGATGGGTATTGATGATGAAGCTGCACTGCAGGTCAACAATTATATTGCAGTGTTATTAAATTCTTTAACGAATTTGGATGACCCTTCAGCACTTGTATTAAATTTTGAAGTAAAAACTTAACTTGAAATCTCCACGATTTACTTACATTTTATTATTAATTTTTATATTATATATTTTTTTAATATTTTAAATTTTTACATTTTTGTTTTTATTGTTTTAAAATTTTTTTATAAATAAAGTGTAAGGATCTTGAAAGAATTTAAAATAATAAAAAATAAAAATATAAAAATCTAAAACACTATAAAAAAAATGTAGGGATCAATAATAAAATGTGAATAAAATATAGGGATTTAAAGTTATATTTTTTAATTTTAAAACTAAATTTGTTTATTATTAATGCCTTTTTTTTTTGTCTTCATATATAATTCAGAATATATACTCTTCATCACTACTCTCTCGTTTTGTATGGGCTTCTAATTTCTTTTCTTATATATAAAAAGAGAGAAAATAAATATTACATATATTTTCAGCACTCTATTTTCCTCATTCATCTCTTACTACACTATTTCCACAACCCTACGCCCGAGTCCTTTCGGATTGACTCATATTTTGCTGCAAATAATAGCAAATATAAAAACTAGCAGGAACAAATGAAAACAAACAATAGGTTGAAGTTTAGAAGTAAAAGTTGAAATGTGGAAAACACGTGTCAGCTTATAAAGGATTAACTTAAAAGAAGAGTTCTGTAAACTGTCTTGAATTTATTGAAGCGAGGGAGTGAATATTAATTGTAACCATCAATGATACACTTCCAACTAGAGCCTTCTTAAAAGAGAATTTCAGCTGGCAAACCAGACTACAGTCTTGGATCTGCTAACCTTCATCTGCCAGAGTTATGACTGCTGTCCAGAGTAGAGCTGAACGGAGACAAGAAGCATCAAAAGTGCTTTCTCAATCTTTATATATAAAATGTTTTTAATTAAATTATATAAATTAATAAAAGTTTGTTACCTAATTAAAAATAAAGTGACATTTTAATTTTACCCCTAATTATTATAAATAAAAAGTAATCTTTTTCTCTTTCTAATTTAATAAAAATATAATAGTCCATTTTATTAAAAAATATACTAAAAAATTTTTATATATAAAGACAAAAAAATATTTTAAAAGACTTTTTATATATAAGAACTAAGAGAATATTCAAATTTATAGATGGTGAAGTGAAAAAAAAAAGAAGAATTTTAACACATATTAATAGGCATTATAAATTAAATCGTGTGTATGACTACATATCACAATGCTCTTCAAATATGCTTTAATTTAACAACTATCTCAAACAATTAAAAAAATACTACTCTACAAATAGATCCTTTTCATTCTAGAATATAGTTTTAGTTTTTTTTTACCCCCAAAAGAATATAGTTTTAGTTAAGAAGATGAGTACTGATTTGATTTTTGATTGGGTGAGTTTTTCCTTAGATTTTCTTCCCAGATTTTCATGAAAGCCATTGATAGATTGAAAAATTATAGTAATCATTATAGTCTTAAAAAGATGTAGTTAAGAAAAATATATTAAAATTTGGCTGGGAGTTAGAAAGGGCTCTGGACTTTCAGAGTTGACTTGTATTGTTGGTCCTCTTTAAATTTGATATACATTGATTATTATTGTTGTTGTTTCTTCTCCATTTTTGAGTGATATATTCATTTTTTTTCTTTGGTTTTAATTTTATTGATACTTAGCTTTTAATATTAAAGTTTCTCTACACACGTGGCCTTTTCAATATATTTAAAGCTCTTTTTTTTTTAAATGAGAAAATATCAAATTTGTTCAAAACACCTAAGCTAAATCATCTACTGCAAGATTGTGCTCTCCTGGACATTATAGTGATAGGCAAGTAAACACCAAATTAATTTCCACAAAAAGTATCCGTTGATGCTAAAGCATCTCAACAATGAGTTTGGAATCGAATTCCAAAATAAAATATACCCCCTTCATCTTAAATTATAAAATATTTTTAAATAAAATTTTATATATTAATAAATTTATAAAATGCACTTAACAATTTTATTTTTTTAAAATAAAAATATAAACTTTTAAAAGTATTTTTTATTTAATAACGTTAAACCTATATTTAATTAGTATTAAATGGAGAGAGAAAAAGTAATATTAAAATAAGTTTATTTAATAATATATTAATCTTCTCAAAGTGTCTTATATTTTAAAATGATAATTTTTTAAAAAAATATATTATAATTTAATATGGAGGAAGTACTTTAAACCCAACGCCTAAGCCAAGTTGAGACATTTGAGAATAACATTTTCTTCGTATTCACATAAAACTACCAAGACAATGACAAAACCCGCAATCAGGTAAACTTATATAGAGATCAATAATGAAAAATGATGACTTTTAGGTATTAAATAAATAAATAACTTTGAGTTATACATTTCGATTTTTTTTTTAAATTGCACATACATCGGTCCTCATTTTACATTAATTCCCGTGTAGGGTCCTTAATTGTCATTTTTTTTATTTTTTTGGTTTAATGTAGCATTCTCTTTGCCTCAATTTATAAGATATTTTTAGAAATGATTTGATATTCTGAAATATAAGATGCTTCTGACAAAAATAATATTCATTAATGATGCTTGTTCAAATATTATCCCTCATATATTGCACTCTTTAAATAAATTTTTCTCTCTATTTTATGAATCAAGGGCATTTTCTATAGTTTATAGAGGAATTAATACTATGAACTGTTTTTAATGGATCTTTTATTATGTAGTAAGTTTAATTTTTTAATCAAAAAATATGTTATAAATTAGAACATATAGAGTACATACTGAGCACACTCATTAATGCCAAAGAGTTAACATACATAAAAAATATAATTATATTCCCTGGTCTTTTATATAAGGTGTTTGGGATTTTTTTTTTATGTAGATTAAGAAAAGTTGTTATCAATTTAAGGATATAAATATTATTATGAAAAATGTAATAAAAAACGAGGAGACACTTTGTGTTTGTGCAGGCTCATGATACTTTTCAGGTTATAAGAATACCATTAAAACTGCAAAGATAAAAATCGAAGTAAAAAAGTTTTCTAAATAAATAAACATATTATTTTTGAGACAATATAAATAAAAATATTGTTTCGTCACTAGCTGGAGCTTATTTATTTTTTTAAGCCTTACAGTATGGGCCTTATATATGTGATTGGACTTTATGGTCCATCAGGCCCAACTATATTTTTTGGCCAAAAGGCCCAATATGCTTCATCATAACCACTGCGCATTCGAAGGAACAACATTAACAAGAAACGTTGCACCTACTTGATGAGAAGAAAATAATCAAATATCACCATCATGAATTCATCCAATATATATATATATATATATATATATATATATATATCGCTATCATGAAGCTGGGACATCAGAGGCCGTGGTTTCATTTATGCATACTTCTAAACTTTTCTTTATAAATGACAAAATTAAATATTAAAAATTTTAGATCAAGTACGTGTGCGTGTGTGTGTGTATATATATATGATAATTAGAATAATTAGAATTTGTGTTGTAGATGTGACAAAATTAAAGATTAAAAAATTTTAGATGCACACTTCTGAACTTTTCTTGATAAATAATAGTATGTGTATAGATTTATTTGAAGAAAAAAATTGATGATTTGATCCATTTGGAGGGGAAAAAACGTGTCAAACATGTCATGTTAAATTTAAATTCAGGACTTCTTCCAAACCAGAAAGGTAACGTTATAATTAGAATAATTTTCCGTTGATGTCACATTTTGATTTAAATGAAACAAGTTATAAATACAGAGGATACAATCTATCAATCAACTAACATTTAATACACTTTTCTTTGCTTATTGATTTGGCATGTTATTAAGGGCCCGTAGAAGTTGATGTTATCTTGTGTTATCAATGTATCAATATATATATATATATATATATATATATATAATAAATGTATAAATGAATCAACTTATTTTTTGTATTTATATATGCAAAAAAATTGAGTTAAACTGGATAAAAAAACTTCAAATCACAAGGTTTATTTTTTTTGGCTAGTTTGACTTGGATTCAGTTCAGTCACAGTATCTTATTTTTTTTTTTGAAAGGTTCACATAAGAAACTTAACTTATTTTGAACAAATTAAATTAAAATTGAGGCTTGTATAAAATTTTTGTTGTTTTAGGTCATAGGAAACAAAAAAAAAAAACTATCTTGCAATTTTACATTTGACGAGGGTCACTTTATCCCCCCCCAAAAAAAAAAAAAACTGGTATGAGTTGCATATAAAAAAAATCATATTATAAATTTATCATAAAAAATTAATATTAATAAACTATCTTATGTCTACTGCCATGTACATATGGGGACCAAAACATTCGATAACTTACGAGGTCAAATTAGGACCCTTTCTTGTCACGCGCGCGCGCGCGCGCCACACAGAAGTTTCAACGCTATCTATGACAATCAGTGTCACGACTAGTGAGACATGCATTATCAAGCGTACGTGCATTCTTAAACAGTTCAACACACACACACACACACAGACACACACACAGTTATTTGGATTTGAATAACCATTAGGACATCTTATTCATATCTGAGAACAAAGATTCAAGGGGAAAAAGTCTCCTAATTTGAACAAAATCACGAAAAACTTGAAGAGGAAGCTCAGTCTTGAGACTTGAGGCTTTGCTTAGATTAGAATAAAAGCTAGATCCTTACACCCACATACACGCACCCCACTCTATTGTCAAAAAATGTATTAAAACAATTAGAGAGAGAGAGAGAGAGAGAGAGAGCTATATAGCTTTCACGTCAATCTTTCTCTGATGACAAAAATTCATAACACTAATGTATTGCTTCGTGACTGACTTCACCACTCAACCACCTCTGAAAGTACCCTCTCACCCATTGAAGGATCATCACCACATTCCCACTACTATTACTCTCTTGTGTCTCCAAGGAATAGGATTAACCCGTTCTCATTGTCGTGACGATCGACCCCTTTTTCTCTCTCCATCTTGCAGTGTTCGGTGTTGCAGAGCATCGGAACATGGCTAAGAGATCAGATTTTGCACAGAAGCTGCTTGATGATTTGCGGCTGAGAAAAGAACGCATGGCTGCTTCCCAGTCTCAGAGGTCAACCCAATCCAATCAGCTTCCTATAGGTTAGTTTCTCTGAAATATCTGCATTTTCTATTTGGCTACTGAATATGCTGGAATTCTGTATGATTCATGTCTCGTTTATGATTTATGACAAGAATACTTCTCTTATATATTTATAAATAACACTGCTTTTGTTGGCTATTCTTGGTGCCATGTCCTGTGGTCAGTGAGAATAAATGTATTTTAGTTTGATTTGAGAATGAGGTAATGCTCTGTCCTTTCTTATATTGGAAGGGTTCACCACAATGTCTGTTTGTGATGTGAATTTTTTCCCCCTAAATTTTCTCGGAAATCTTCTCTTGTTTTCTAGGCTACTCTCTCTCTGTTTTTTTTTTCGGAAATATTTTTCGTGGTAGTAAGATGCATGTTTAACTACCTGACTAGCTTGCTTAATTAACAAATTTGTCTGCTATAATTAAATGAGACTGCGTAATGGGAAATAGTTCCTAAAACTTCAGGATTGACTTCCCATTCAGGCCTGCCCAGAATTGGTTTCTGAATTTCTGATGGTTATTATTAATATTTACGAGCCTGTATAGGTCGAAATTCTGAAGAAAAAGTTCAAGAAATCGTTGACAGAGTTGGCAATTCTTTCTTGGACTTGCAAAATTAAAAAAATGAACAAAAGTCAATTTACAATCCTATATATGTTAAAATTCTGAAGACAAAGTTCAAGAGAACATTGACAGAATTGGTATTTCTTTCTTGGAAAGGAGAAAAGACCAATTTTATTTTTTGGGGGTCCCTGTAACGTTTATTGTGCCCTTCTAATTAATTTTATTCATCAGTATTCCCCCCAGCGTTTTGTATTCTATTTTATTACTCTTTTCAAATAGAGACACGAGAGTCTTTTTTTATCTTCAAAATCAATATAATCATTTCACTCTATTTTAGTTTGTATACCAAATGAGCCCTACAAGATAGCTTATGTTACACTATTCTAATATTATAAAAGTCTATGATATCTATACGTGTTCTACAGATGCATATACCTACTCGAAGCAAACATACAGAGGATCCAGGAATACGAAAGCTGGTGAAGCTGTAAGTCATTATACATTTATGTACATTGAGCCTGAATTAAAGCAGGTTGCTTGAAATCCGTTATTGAAATTATTTCATGGTTAGCAGGTTAGTTCCAGAACTGGAGACATGCTAAGCAGGCCTAGTAGCAGAAGCCATAAAACATCAAACATTGGAGAATCGTCCGATCAGATTGTTGTGTACGGAAGAGGTCAGAGCTCAGTGCAATTGAATGATATATCCCTTGCTCTGGCTTATGCATTTGAGAATGGAGGAAAACTGAGAAGAGCTGATTCTTCTTTCGCTAGTTCAATGATGGGTTTCCTTCACCAGATTAAAAGGGGAACGGGGGAGTACAGCAAGATGGGAAGAGGAAGCAATCTGGAGACGCAATTGGCTGCAGCAAACCACTTCCCTACTTTCTCTCCTGGGCAGATCAATGAGATATCCAAAGGCGTACAGAAGTTAAACCAGATATTGAGAGCCTGCTCCAATGGTGTTCTTAACATGGATAGATACTCAATAGAATTTGCAAAGGAACTATTACAAGGAGCTATGGATTTGGAAGAGTCTCTGAGGATATTAGTAGACCTGCAGAAAAGTTCAGATCCCATGAAGAACTCACAGAAGAAAAATCGGATTACATTGATAGAGGAGGACAATGATGATTATAGTGATGACAGAACAATCGTGGCTTCTGAGCAAAGACAACTGGCACCACCAACATTCTCCTTCGACAAGTCCTCGAGGCATTCTCATAATGTTCAAGATGTTGGAAAGACTAGTTTGATGCAGAGGCAACTTGCTCTTACTTACTCTAAGGAACACAGAAACTCCAGTAATGAAAAGCAAGCTGTTAACATGTCAAAATTGCTTCCCCATAGGCAATCAACTAGCTCCATTCCTGACAATAAGAATTTCAACGCCCTTTCAGGACAGAAAAATCAGTCAGCTTCAATGAAATCCAATAAGAGAAGGCCAGGATTCCAAATGTAATTGCCAAATTAATGGGGCTAGATAATCTCCCAGAAAATGGAATCAGGAAACCCCTCTCAGGATTCAAATTCTACACAGAAAATAGAAGGAACTGCATTCAGGCATACTGCACCAGGAAGTGCCAAGAAGATTGAATTGAAGAGCCAAAAAACAGAGAATTCAGTACCTCCAAAACAGCAAAAAATGATGGAAACTGTCATTGTGCCAAAAACACAGGGAAAGGAGCTGATGTATGTTGCAGATGAAAAGATCATCCAAAAGGCTAGCTCTGAGGTGGCTACGAAAAATGGAAAAACACTATGGAGGGAGTTGAATGAAATAAAAGCATCCAAAGGATTAGAGAAGGGCACCCTCAAAGTAGAGAAGCAGCAGAGTAATGCAGATAAAACGAACCTCAATAGAGAAAGTGGAAAGGATGCTCAGGCCAATGGAAGAAAACAGGTTGAGGCAACTAACAGAGAAAAGAAGGTCACAGTAAAGGGAAGAACCAATGATTTGCTTCTAAATAACATGCTATCCCAGCTGGAACAGGCTCACGAAAGATCAGAAGTTGACTCTTCATTGCAGGAAGAAAAAGAAGGCAATGGAAATCTTATCCAATCAGTAAAGAAACACACAAACAAGAAGGATGCAACTAATCAAAAGAAGTCCCAGAATCACCTTGGAATTCAAAAGCCTTATGCGCTCTTAAAATATCGGCCACAAGAAGAACAACAGCACAGAGAAAAGCAGCTCCAGCATCGTGAAAAGCATATCTTAGAGGCAAGACTACAAAAAGGGGGCGAAGCAGCTTTGAAAAATTCATCAAAACCCTCACATGACCTGACCAATTCCCCGAAGAAGCAAGGTTTCCGAGATGGCAACTACAATGATCTAAATCATGACGAAACTTCCATCGAGTTCAGTGCGAAAGTGAAACAAGTGAACAATAGGAAGCCAGGTCAAATTACCTCTCCAAGAAACCAACAATGTGAACCAGTTACAGGAAAGAATGGCGTCACAACAATGACGGATCAAAAAAGTGTTCATAAACTAACGAACGAGAAGGTAAAGAATACAATAAAGAAAAAAGCTTATGCTAAGCTAGAAGTGAGACAAAGAACATCTGAATCTGACAAATTCAATTTATCAAAGGAAGCCAAGCAAGAAAGGGTCAGCATTTTGAAAGAAGCAGATGCACGCATCATTAGCTCCAACGACTTAATTTCTATCATTGAACCATTGGATGTGATACAACAACCACATCCAGAAGCAGAACTCTCTCCTACATTGTACGCTTCTCATGGTGGGAAAGTTCAAAGCCTACAAGAATCAGTAGATTTGGTTCCCATAATTTGGTAAGATCAATTTCTTTAGCATCTAAAATTGTCTTATTCAATGGCAACTTGAAAATAATAAAAGAACCTAAGTAGTTATAGAATTTCTTCCCAAAAAATAACACACAAATAAAGCTAACATAATCCTTGTTGCAAATTATGCAGTATCAGTACGTCAAATTGATGGCCACTAATGACAAGCAACATGTCGCTACTCTTTTGGCAGTAGATGAAAAAATCGAGTCTTGTGACACTGCACCAACTACAATAAACGGTGAGTTTATAGATGACTTTCTTTTAAAATAAGAAGTTATCTATTCTTCTAGAGTTATAACTTACATGACCTAGTAGATTAAGAGATTACAAAAATTTCTTACCTCCTCTAAGCGATCATCTTCGTTCATTCATCATAGAGCCATAATCTTTTCAATAAAATCCATCTTGGGTTCCTTCTCTTCTTTCTCTTTTTGGTAGATACATTTCTCAGAAGTCAGAACTAGACCAACACAACTTCTATCAAAGTGATACCGCCAAATTTCACCAAGAAATGTATAGATTAAACAAATCATACAAAGTTATATACAACGACAATAACAAGCCTTATTACCTGGGGTCAGTTATATAGATTGTACGATGCTATTATAATCTATCAATCATGCACTCTTTAGATATATCATTCACCAAAAGTTCCTGTTTGATAACTACTTTAGATGTTTTTCTTAGTCTTCCTCTATCTCTCTTAATGTGACCTGAAAAATCAAACAAAGCTATATAGTTGAATTATTATTTTTATATACCACAGGAGTTCACGGAGAGAGGATGGACATAAATTACCATTCACGAAGGCAAGGCCAGAGAATTTCTGAAAAAAGAATGCTAGCGCCACTTGCTGAAAGTGAAAACTGCCTCAAATGGATCTTGATCACGAGTCAACCATTCCTCAACACAGCAGAAGCACTTTTCAAGCTAAACATTCCATTTAGCATTCTTCAAGGCTGTGGTGGAGTGGACAATCAAGATGAAGAAGGCAGCAAGCTTATATTAGACTGCAGCTATGAAGTGATGAAACGCAAGGGGATACGGCAAGAACTCAAAGTCCATTCTTGCTCAAAGGCATCAATTAGTTCCATTAAAATAAGCTCATTAGATGATTTGGTTAGGCAGCTGAATGATGACATGGAAAAGCTGAAGTTTTATGGAAGGAATAGAACTTCCCCAGTTCATGTTGAGGACTACCTTCCTAAAATGCTTGAAAATGATGTCTACAAGAAGTATCCAGACATAGACTGTATGTGGGATTTGGGCTGGGACCAGGAAACATTTGCATCCCTCGAAAAATACGATGTCACAAGGGATATGGAAAAGCATATCCTTAATGGACTTTTGGATGAGATCACACGGGAACTTTCGAATGTTGAAGGAGTAACAGTTACACATTCAGCTGTTCTAATCCACTAGGAGGCCTAAAAAAAGGACTTTCATTTTTTATAGGGAGTAGGGACTTGGTTATTACAACTTTTCTCATCTACATTGATTTCTGCTTTGCAGTCTCACATAAACTCTCAAGGGTATTGGCGGTGCCCCTTTTTTGTGAAGCAAGCCATTTGTTTTTATTTTGAGGGGTCAGATGAATGAACATTCAGGTTTTGCATGCTGAATTGAGTGCATTGTACTAAATATTTACAGAAGGAAAAATATGGAATAAATTTTGATATGGTGAACAAAGTGTGCACATTTTCTATTAAAAAAAAGAAGAGTGCAAATTTTGACGTTGATGTTTAGTCCCGCTGTTTAACATGATTTTCCTTTGGGAATATGATTGTGTTAACCATTTATTGATCACATTTTGTTGTAGTGTATCTGATGAGGTTTCGACACTTTCCGATGAAAAACCCTGTCTAATTGGTCAACGTCAAGCAAGGAGGGGGGAAAAAATCTTACATGCTTGTGACAGCGTCAAAGCAAGCTAGTTAATTTTCCAAGATATTGGCATCATAAAAACTGAATCTAATTAAATCATATAAGAATTCCATTTATCTAATTACTTAATACAACATCAAGCAACTACATGCATTTGGGAACAAGCTAGCTAATTTACAAGATAAATAGTAGTTGAACATCATACAAACTGAACCTTGCTAAAGTGAATTCTACTGACTTCAATTACGGATTTGGCTGGGAGGGATCAGCACGACTCAGACGTTTCTTCCTGTATCTCCATGCAACCTGAATGCGAGTTGCTGCAAGGCTCCTCCAATAAGGCGATTCATACCTACCATCATTCACTATCAAGTTACTGTGTAGGAATGGATTGTAAGACAAAAAACGGCTTCGCCGAATATACATAACTTGAAAATAAACTAAACAAGTATTTCACCATCGAACTAGTCTACGTATACTACAGTTATTTCTGTTAAAATTTATTGGTTGGGCAAACCACTAAGTAAACTGTAATTGATCCCAACATTTTAAACGGGATAAGTTGTACCATATATCATGTGCACCAATGCTGATGTGCATAATACTTAGCCTTCACTGTAAATTGAAAGATAATGGTAAAGCATAGAAGGAAAGATCACCTTATGGCTCCTTGAACACGCGCATTTCTCAAGAACCTGGTAAAAAGGCTAGTGACTTCTTCAAGGTCTGCGTACCGTAGTGAAAATGCCTCCACATTTGTCAAGGAACGTACAGTCCTGCTGCTGAGCAATCTTTGTCCAGGAAGCCTTACTTTTTTACCATCTGCAGGGTATACCATATTAATTTCTTACTGCTATACATTATAATAAAAGTATTCATGCGTTTTCTCTCAGCAACTTAAGCTTTTGAGCAGATGTATTCTTAAGCTTTCACATTTCAGGCTCAAGAGTGTGAAGAAAAAAGTGTTAGGGATAATAATAAAAATATTCATGTGACTTCACAAAATAACTTGTAGCTTTTCCGTTGACAAGGTCAGCACTTAAAATCAATTAATAAGATTATGGTGTCTTCATCGTACCTCTGTTCACCGAAGAATGTTCCAGACACCATCTCAGGAGCTCTTCACCGCACACATCCCCTTCAGCTAGGGGAACACTGGTCCCATCATCTCCAATGCTCTCCAATCTTCCACGCACAACAAACACCATTTTGTCTACCAGACCACCATGATACAGAATATTGCTTCCTTTGATGTATGTTTTCTGTCTTAGTCTCTCACAAATGACATCTAAGATAGGTTCATCCATCAGGGCAAAAATTCGAACCTGTGCATGTTTTAGATAATTAGAATATGATGAGACAAAACAAAACACAAGGAGATAGACCTAAAGAAGAAGGTTTTTCAATGAACCATACTTCTGAACTACAGGTATGGTGGGTTTAAACAGAATGAGTAGGATAATCTGATACAAGTTATGACTAGTCAATTGAGCAACAGATAGTCATGTGCTCACTTTCTTAACAAATTTGAAGAGATGACGTCTAATGTCTCTCTGAAGATCCTCTGGCAAACTCTCCAGAAGCATTTCTTCATTTACCCCTCTGGTTGCAGCCCAATTATATCGTTCAGCCAGTATTACTCTCCTGCATAACAGACCAATAATATGAGCAGAATTGTGTACTACTTGACAATATGATCCATAAATTTGCGTGATCATGATTACCAAAAGAGACAAACAACAACAACAAACCTTATTCCATTAGGTGGGGTTGGCTATATAGATTATATAACGTCATTGTACTCTATCATTTATTAAACTTTTAGAAATATTGTTAATTAAAAGGTCTCGCTCAACAACTTTTAAAAGTATTCTCTTCGCTCTTCCGCTACCCTTCTTGACAGGGTTCAAACTCATTTGTTTTACTCTCCTCACAGGTGTCTCTCGTGGTCTTCTTTGTACATGTTCAAACCACCTTAAACGGTTTTCTATCATTTTTCCTTCAATAGGTGTCACGCCTACTTTTTCTCGTATTCGCTCATTTCGAATTGTTTTTATGTGTATATCCACACATCCATCTCAATATTCTCATCTTTACTACTTCAACTTTATGCTCTTGCTGTCCAGTCAAAGTTCAATATTCACTACCATATAAAATTACTAGTATTATAACAGTTCAATAAAACTTTCCTTTAAACTTATCAGATACCTTATAATTGCAGATAACTCCTTTAGCATTTCTCCAATTAAACCACCCCGCTTGTATCCTATATGCAATATCTCCATCAATTTTTTCATTTTGTTGAATAATCGCTCCCAAACATCTAAATTTTTCCACTTGAGGTATTGTCTGATCACCCAATTTCACTTTCAAGTTACTACCCACTAACCCCTTATCAAAATTATAACGTAAATATTCTGTTTTACTCCTACTCAGGCGGAAACATTTTGATTCCAATGTCTTCTTTCATAACTCAAATTTACAATTTATCTCTTCTCTTGTCTTTGCAATAAGAACTATATCATCCGCAAAAAGCATGTATTTAAGAATTTTCTCTTGAATATGCTTAGCCAAAACATCTATTACTAGATCAAACAAATAAGGACTCAAAGATAATCTTTGATGCAGTCCAATCTTTATAGGAAAATATTTTGTTTTACCACCAACTGTTCTTATACTAGTTGTTGCCCCCTCATATATGTCTTCTATAGCTTGAATATAGGCAACCCGAACACCCTTCTTTTCCAATGCCTTTCAAAGTACTTCTCTCAGTATACGATCATAAGTTTTTTACAAATTAATGAAAACCATATATAAATTTTTACCTTTACATTGATACTTTTTCATTAATCCTCTTAGCAAATAAATCACTTCTGTAGTCGCCCTCCCTGGCATGAAGCCGAACTGATTTTCAGAAATAATAGTTTCCAATCTCAACCTATGCTCAATCACTTTTTCTCATAATTTCATAGTATGATTCATAAATTTAATCCCTATATAGTTAGCACAATTTTGAATGATTACCAAAAGAGATGAATAAAATAGTTGACATGCAAATTTCTAATCGTTCATTTTCTTTTATTGCACACAGGTATCCTCCTCTATTGGAAACAATTCTATTTGAAGTATAATCAAACACTAAATATAAGAACCTCTCCTCATGGGAATTCAAACCTTGGTCCTAGGCACTCATTTTTATCAATATGCTTTAGCAAGGAACAATCGACAGCTCTTCAAATGGGTGCATTGACAATGATAATGTCACCAACCTTGGTGGAGATGGAATGTAATTCAGGAGACAAAAATAATTGCAATGCATACTAGTAATGTTAAAAAAAATTAGAAAAGTAATATATATGGGTTCACTTTGGTTGAATAGGTCAGAGTTTAACTTCTCTGCATCTTTTATTTATAGTCAAAATAAGTCCCAGAAAAAAAAAATAAACAACCACTAAAATTAAGCAAAAACAAAGGCAGAACAGGAAACAGCAATCCAAAAGGGCCAACAACATGATCACCGGTAATATGAATAAATAATACAGTATATCAGTGTTGTTTACTCAGTGAAACATTCAATTTGACATGATAAAAAAGGAAATTAATTGCATCACAGGTTTGCTAGATTGTTCTCAAGTCTCAACCATTATTTCACATTCATTGTTTGACTCTGTTATCAACAACAAATATACTACAATCTACATAACAGTGATTAATCATATTTAACACACTACAAACACAAGTACTTAATAGCATTTAGTAGACAGAGATGGAGATACTGGAATAAAATTCATTTAAAAGGTGTTCTTGAATTTTCAGTTGCTTATCTAATGAGTCTTAGCCATAACATTTCTTATCTTGGAGGGGAGGTTGTTTCTTATGCACCCAATATTTACATTGTCAAGTGGAGTTTCGGGAAAGGGTGCAGAGTTAGCAAGCAACAACTCGAATCAAATGAATGACATTCTTTGGCAATCTGAAATGATGAAGAAAATGGATACCTTCTTAAATCTTCTGGCAAGCGCCGGTGGCTCATCCATTGTTCCACATCACGACGTCTAAGTGACATTTCTAGCCTCCTACAAAAGGGATGGAAGAAAATTTAGCAAGCATAATATAATCATGCATACATCTGAACTTGACTAAGAATGACGATGGGAAGGATGCAGATAGGGCACTACAGCGCCCATCCTGAATCCATATTTAGTGGGTAAAAAGTTCCTTATTACCCTTGAATCCATAAATCTTTGGATGCAGATCCATTTACCCAAAAAATATTTGAAATGAACCAATTTTTCTCAAGTCAAGACTAATTTACATAAAATTGCTCGTATGTATATAACAAATAATTGAGTGTCACAAGCAATTTTTAATTTAAAAGCAACATAATTTTATTTGAATGGTAATTTTTTAATTTTTCCGCTGTATTAAATTAATGTAATTAATTAACATAACTAAGTGTGTGTATCAATGACACACACACAAGAGCCTGCAGAACAGGTATCATGCTATCTGAGCCCAGGGCCTTCAAATACCCATAAAAATCTCAGTACCCAAGCCCAAGTGGGTAAGTTTTGCGAGTGGTAAGGGCATAAATACCAATTTATTCTCTAGTGGCCTAGCCAAAATCAGCTAACCCTCCTTTAGTTGAAAATGTGTCATTCAACACTCATGTTTCCTTCAATTACCACTGAACCAATTTGCGGTATTTGTCTAAGAAACTTGCAGTTGAAATTAAGAGGCATTCACATCATGCACGTGTAATTTGAAGAATCCCACAGTCCTTGAGACAAATGTTCAAATTGCATTAGACATGGCACAGCTCCATTTTTTTTTTTTTTATACAAGTGCTTTATATATTAGTAATAAAGAATTTATGCCGTGAGAGACATAATATTAGAGTTGTTTCAGAACATAATCTGTAACAAGAAATGAAAAAAAAAATAAAAATAGTAAAGAGGTTCTATAAATTTCCCAAACAAGAATTACAGTGAGAAAAAAAGGGCACTAAGGTCACGTTTGTTTACTAGATATAATGAAATGGAATGAATTGAAAAAATTGAGACAAAAATGAACTCAATCACCTTTCACCCCATGGTAAGCATGATAAAATTCATTAATGTATATTACAAATGTGGGAATCATCACACCCTTTAAAAATTTTATGAACCATGATTCCAACCCCATGAACTAAATTACTTCTCTCCTTTATAAATGTGTTCACCTATTCTCTTTGATAATTTTATTTTTACCTTTATTTTTTTAATTCATTTCATTCTATTCTATTTTAGTAAACAAACGTGACCTAACATATTTTAGAATTCATAAAAACTCTTTTTGTAGGCTAGGTTTGCTAATTTGTTCTAAATTCAAAATAGTTTTATATGAGCATTTCCTATTTGTAGCATAGAATTAAAACAAGAGTTTCTCTACTAGGGGGAAAAAAGAGAGAAAAAAAGAAAAGAAAAGAAAGAATTAAAACAAGTGAGACTACAGGGGAGATTGGGAACTGGACATCACTCGTCACTCCTCAGTCATGTATGACTTCAACAACTTCACTTGTTTTAGGAAGATAGGAGACAATGACACGTTCACAAATTTAACTGCAAAAATATACTTGAACTGTGAGAAACAACAACAACAACAAGTCTTTATCCCACTAGGTGGGGTCGGCTACATGGATTGCAAGACGCCATTATGCTCTATCATTTATCAAGCTTTTAGGAATATTATTAATTAAGAGATTGCGTTCAACAACTTCCAAGAGTGTTATCTCAGGCCTTCCTCTACCTCTCTTAATCGGACTCAAAGTTATATGTTCCACTCTTCTCACTGGTGCCTCCCTTGGTCTTCTTTGTACATGCCCAAACCATTTCAACCGATTTTCTACCATTTTTTCCTCAATAGGTGCCACCCTCACGTTTTCGCGTACATGCTCATTTTGAATTTTATCTTTACGTGTATGTCCGCACATCCATCGTAACATTCTCATCTCTGCTACTCCAACTTTATGCTCTTGCTGTCCCGTTAGAGCCCAGCATTCACTACTATATAACATTGCCGGTCTGATAGCAGTGCGATAAAACTTTCCTTTAAGTTTATTAGGCACCTTACGATCACAAATAACTCCTTTAGCTTTTCTCCAATTAAACCACCCAGCTTGAATTCTATGTGAAATATCTCCACTGATTTCACCATCATTTTGAATAATGGCTCCCAAATATCTAAACTTTTCCACTTGAGGTATAATTTGATCTCCCAATTTCACTTCCAAATTATTGTCAAATATTCCTTTACCAAATTTACAATATAAATATTCCGTCTTACTTCTACTCAGACGAAAACCTTTCGACTCCAATGTCCTCCTCCATAACTCAAGTTTACAATTAATCTCTTCTCTTGTCTCTGCTATAAGAACTATATCATCCGCGAAGAGTATACATTTCGGGATTTCCTCTTGAATATGTTCTGTCAAAACATTTAAAATCAAGTTGAACAAATAAGGACTCAGAGATGATCCCTGATGTAGTCCAATCTTTATAGGAAAATCCTTTGTTTGACCACTAGGCGTTCTTATACTAGTTTTTACCCCCTCATACATATCTTGTATGGCTTTAATATAAGCAATCCGTACTCCCTTTTTTTCCAATGCTTTCCAAAGCACTTCTCTTGGTATACGGTCATAAGCTTTTTCCAAATCAATAAAAACCATGTGTAGATCTTTATCTTTACAACGATACTTTTCCATTAATCCCCTTAGTAGATAAATCGCCTCTGTAGTTGATCTACCTGGCATAAAACCAAATTGATTCTCAGAAATACTTGTCTCTAATCTCAACCTGTGCTCAATTACTTTCTCCCACAATTTCATTGTGTAGCTCATGAGTTTAATCCCTCTATAGTTAGTACAATTCTGAATATCTCCTTTATTTTTATAAATAGGAATTAATGTACTTCTCCTTCACTCATCAGGCATTTTCTTGGACCGTAAAATCACATTAAATAACTTAGTCTGTGAGAAACAAGGGATGAAAAATATAACAATGCCCTCTGGAATTAAAAGAAAAAAGAAAAAAAACAATAAGAAAAAGCAGCAGCAGCAGCCTTGTTCTATTAAATGAGGTTGGCTACATGAGCGCATGATGCTATTAGACTTTATGAACAACTGTTCAGATATCTGATTCACTACAATGGTCTTGTTTTATAACTTCTTCAATGTTATGTTTTGACGCATGTAGATTTGGATTTGAGTCAAATTTATTGTTTAGGCAATTAAAAATGTGTATATTTGAATTTGACCCAAATTTAAATCCAAATCCTATCTCAATCTCTTTGTAATTTCAATTCTTTTCTAAACTCCTATTATTTCAAATTTTCATGAAAGTCTCTCTCTTCCTTTGCTTTCACCTGTTGACTTCGACATCACTACCTTCGAACAACTTCCCCTAAGACCAAACTGCCGGCGCTAACTGGGATTGGACTACCAGTGTCAGCCAAGATCAAACAGCCGACTTTGACTGGGACTGGACTGTCGGTGCCAACCAGGACCAAAATGTTGATGTTGACTAGAATCGAACTACCGGTGACCCTTGAAATCGGATGACTGGCTTTGACCAAGATTAGATAGTTAGCTCGAATGGGAACAGACAACTAATGCCAATCAGGACCAGACCACCAATGCACTCCACGATCAGATGAATGACTTTGACCAAGACCAGAGTCGACCAGGATTGAATCACCTGTGTCGACCCAGTCTGGACCTCCAGTGTTGATTGAGATTGGATTGCTAGCTCCACAGGGAATGAATGTTAGTGCTAATTGGGACTCGACCGTAAGAGTTGAAAGGGACAAGAATGCCAGTGTCGACCAAGACTAGACCGCTGGTGTTGGTTGGGACCAAACCGCTAGCATAGACCAAGATCAAACTATTGACGCCGACCAAGACTAAAAGACCTACTTTGATCGAGACCGAACAACCGACTTCAACTGGGACTAAACTGCCAGCATCAATCGGGTTTAGGAATTTCAAATTTCAATTCACTTTCAATCACTGTCCTTTACCACCTAATCTTGGCTTGCCGTCGCTGTCTTTCAATGCCGATCCTGTACCCTCATATGGTGTCAGCCTGCTACCATCATGCGTCAATCTATAGCCAATGTCACTATCTAGGACCGATCTGTGATCACTATCTTCAATCTGTCTGCCTTTGTCGTCCGGCACCAAACACCGCTGTTAATAGGGAATGATCTGGTGTTGTCATCCAAGTCCAATCCGCAACCCTTGAACTGTTGTAATCATCCTCGTGCTAATCTGCAAGCACTGTTTGAGATTGACCCGTTAATGTTGAACGGGACCAAGCTACCATTGCTGCCGCTGATCGAGACTGGACCACTGATGTCATTCGGGTTTGGACAGCCGGATTCAATCAACACTGGGCTGCCACCCCTGATTTGGATTGGACCACCTACTTTGACTTGGACTAAATGGCCGATGAGTCCGAGTTGCCTTAAATTCAAATGTAGAATTTAAAATTTGAAATTTTATTTGAGATCCAAACAAGGGATTTTGGTATTATAATATGAAATATTTATATCATCCAAACAAAGAATTTAAAATCTATGAATTTCAAATGTAATATTTTAAATATGAAATTTCAAATCCAAATTCCCAACCCAAATGCAACCTTAGCGTCTTTCTTGGTCTCCCTCACAAAAAAAAAAAAGAAAAGATTTAATTTTTAAAAAACCTCCTAGTAACCCATAACTTTTGAAGAATTAGTACACATGTTGCTGAATTACCGGAGTTTGAACTAACCACCTGGCCAGTTTCTCAAAGAGTAGATACAAAATGCTACTGGCTTAATCCAAATACTTACTGGGAACAAAACAACCATGCACTCCCACTCCAAGTTAGGACATCATAGCATTTTCTAGAACTATTAGAGATGCTTCATGCGGAGTCTGATTTAGTTAGAAATAGAGATTAAGAGGAATATTGTCATCAGTCAGCATTTGCTGATTGTATGCGCTGAATATATTGAGTCTCAGTTAAGAGAATTTGCATATAATGTGCAATGAGTTATACCTTCGATCAAGAGCCTGAAGAAAGTTCTGTATGTTTCCAATGAGAAGAGCAAAAAGCAAGAGTCCCAGTCCAATGATGCCCATTGTAAAAAGGACTTCCCAAACAAAATAGCTTGGGTTTTGATTCCCAGCTAGAGTACTGATTTGCTGCATAAAGATCACAAAGGCATAATACATCAAATATTGAATTACTAAGATGAATTTTTTGTCCATTTTCATATTGAACTATATGCATACCTGTTAAAAATACTTATATATGTATTTAGTGTTTAGACTTAATAACTAAATTATATTCAATAAAAAAATAACATAATTTAAATAATTAATAGATATTGTATCAATTTGGAAAAATATCGTGCTTGTATTAAGAAAATTTTATCTTATTTGATTTTATTAGAATTTTTTAATTTACAATTTTTGTATTAGGTTTCTTTCATTTTTAATTTTAAAATAATTATTATGTTAACTTAATAAATATTTAAAATTACATTTCAACAAACATTAATATTTATATCAATTGTAAACTTTGCCCCCTATATAATTTTTCTCGTTCTGTACCCTGTATATTGCCTTTTTTTGGGTAAAATTCCAAGTATTTATCAAAATTTTTAATTAACATCATGTATCTACATCCACATGTGAAAATATATTAAAAATAAAAAATTACTTATTCTTCATAAAATTTAATATCTTAATATATGATTTTACTTTCCTATGTTTTTGAACTTTTTATAATTTTTTTACATCGTTATACATCATTTGTTATATAATGAATTTATCTTATGTTATAAAATTAGATACCGTTTGGAGCAATTTTTTGAACTTTTCAGAAAGCTAACTTTGTAGGACTTCTCAGAAAGTTCATAGTTGATTGCTTGTTTCATTTTTTTTTTCCCCTTAATACCGGGACATCTAACTATTCTTAGGTAAATATAACATTTTGTAATGCTAAAGACAAAAATATCTTTTTACTGAATTTTATTCTTAATTTTCAAGAGTAAGTTTGGAAGCATACAATTAATACTAGAGAAGTAGAACTTAGCAGGGTTTTACTTGGTAAATTACTCCCCTGTGAGGGACGTGTAAGACTTCATTTTTCAGGAAGTTTAACTTCTCCTTTCTACTTACCCTCAACCAAACAAACCCTTATATCCCTTGCAAACAATTTGCCCCTCATGACTTTCATCATGATCCATACTTGCTCTCACCCTTCTCCCCAAAATGACTTTCATCTTGGATCCATCCCCCTCAGTATGTATTTATTTCTTTTGGAGGGACCAAAATTTTTTTCCCTCCCCTCCATTTGTTAAACAACAATGGGCAGATTTGGAGGGGTAACTAAAATTTCCCTCTATCCAAAGGATAAAACCTTAAGGTTTCGTTTGATTACAAAAAAAATAAAAAATAAAACCATTTGATTACAAAAAAAAGAATGGAATGAAATGAATTGAAAAAATAAAGATAAAAATGAGATGATAAAAAAAAAAGATGATGGACCACGTTTATAAGGGAGAGGGGTGATTTAGTTCATGAGTTGGTAATCAACATTCATGAAATTTTTGGAGGATGTGATTATTTCCATATTAGTAGTATATATTACTAAGTTGTATCGTACTTATCATGAAGGGAAAAGGTGATTTAGTTCATTTTTGTAATAATTTTTTCAATCAATTCCATTCCTTTTCAATAGCCGAATGAGACCTAACATCTCTCCCGTTTCCTTTGTTGAACCAAACGCTGTTATTTTCCTCCCTGATTTCTTTGGCCATTCAACTCCTAGGGTCGACCCTCTCCTTTTTTTATTTTTAATGAACATCAACTCTCTCTCCTTTACATGTATTAATCCAGTTTCCAGAAAAATCAAAATGGAGTTTTGAATTCTGAAATTCTACAAATTTCCTGAATTGATCCTATCTAAGATTGTGACCCCTCAAGGGTTCCTCTAATGAATTAGCTAATCAAAACATGATTTTGTTTTTTTTTTTTAATGTTAAATTTATGAAGCCAAAAGGATCAGGTATGGAAAAGGCAATCTTTAACCATAGGTTTGGACATAATTTTAATATAACTTAATCAAGCTTAAGCATGCACTTTACGTTCCCTCACTTAATGTATTTCCTTAATTTCACCACTAACAGGTTCTAGGGCCTAGGCACTAACAATCAGTATGACCAGTCCAGACCTCTGAATTGTAAGCAAGTATAGGTTTTACTATTTAACACTTCTGAGATACTCATATAACATGAACATATTCTCACATAACAACAACAAAACAACAACAAGCCTTTATCCCACTAGGTGGGGTCGGCTACATGGATTGCAAGACGCCATTGTGCTCTATTATTTATTAAACTTTTAGAAATATTATTAATTAAGAGATCACGTTCAACAACTTCCAAGAGTGTTCTCTTAGGCCTTCCTCTACCTCTCTTAATCGGACTCAAAGTTATATATTCCACTCTTCTCACTGGTGCCTCCCTTGGTCTTCTTTGTATATGCCCAAACCATCTCAACCGATTTTCTACCATTTTTTCCTCAATAGGTGTCACCCTCACTTTTTCACGTATGTGCTCATTTCGAATTTTATCTTTACGTGTATGTCCGCACATCCATCGTAACATTCTCATCTCTGCTACTCCAACTTTATGCTCTTGCTGTCCCGTTAGAGCCCAGCATTCACTACTATATAACATTGCCGGTCTGATAGCAGTACGATAAAACTTTCCTTTAAGTTTATTAGGCACCTTACGGTCACAAATAACTCCTTTAGCTTTTCTCCAATTAAACCACCCAGCTTGAATTCTATGTGAAATATCTCCACTGATTTCGCCATCATTTTGAATAATGGCTCCCAAATATCTAAACTTTTCCACTTGAGGTATAATTTGATCTCCCAATTTCACTTCCAAATTATTTTCGAATAGTCCTTTACCAAATTTACAATATAAATATTCCGTCTTACTTCTACTCAGACGAAAACCTTTCGACTCCAATGTCCTCCTCCATAACTCAAGTTTGCAATTAACCTCTTCTCTTGTCTCTGCTATAAAAACTATATCATCCGCGAAGAGCATACATTTCGGGATTTCCTCTTGAATATGTTCCGTCAAAACATTTAAAATCAAGTTGAACAAATAAGGACTCAGAGATGATCCCTGATGTAGTCCAATCTTTATAGGAAAATCCTTTGTTTGACCACTAGGCGTTCTTATACTAGTTTTTACCCCCTCATACATATCTTGTATGGCTTTAATATAAGCAATCCGTACTCCCTTTTTTTCCAACGCTTTCCAAAGCACTTCTCTTGGTATACGGTCATAAGCTTTTTCCAAATCAATAAAAACCATGTGTAGATCTTTATCTTTACAACGATACTTTTCCATTAATCCCCTTAGTAGATAAATCGCCTCTGTAGTTGATCTACCTGGCATAAAACCAAATTGATTCTCAGAAATACTTGTCTCCAATCTCAACCTGTGCTCAATTACTTTCTCCCACAATTTCATTGTGTGGCTCATGAGTTTAATCCCTCTATAGTTAGTACAATTCTGAATATTTCCTTTATTTTTATAAATAGGAATTAATGTACTTCTCCTCCACTCATCAGGCATTTTCTTGGACCGTAAAATCACATTAAATAACTTAGTTAACCATCTCACCCCTTCTTCACCTAAACATTTTCACGCTTCGATAGATATACAATCAGGTCCGTTAGCTCTACCATTTGCCATTTTCTTAAGAGCTTCCTTTACCTCCTTATCACGTATTTTTCGATAGAATGACAAATTTTGTTCTCCTTCACCAGTTACTAAATCCTCCAAGTTACTAGATGAATCCTCTCATCATTGAAAAGTTTAGAAAAATAAGTCTCCTATCTATTTTTAATTTCATCATCTGTAACTAAATTCTTTCCTCTTCATCCTTAATACACCTTACCTGTTCTAGATCTCTTGATTTTCTTTCCCTACTCTTGGCAATCTTATAAATATTTTGCTCTCCTTCCTTCGTCTCAAGGTTCTTATAAAATTCTTCAAAAGCTTTGGAACGAGCTTCACCCACAGCTCTCTTAGTTTCCTTCTTAGCCATACGGTACCTCTCCCAATTTTCCTCATTGTTACACAAATGTATGGCTTTAAAACAGTTCTTCTTATACTTGATTTTGTCCTGTACACTATTATTCCACCACCAAGACTCCTTATCTCTCGGACCAGAACCTTTCGATTCTCCCAAAACTACTTTTGCAACCTCCCGTATCTTTTTAGCCATATCCTCCCATATGATGTTAGCACTTCCCTGAGAATCCCAAATTCCTTTATCCAAAAGATTTCGCTTGAAAATATCTTGCTTCTCACCTTTTAATTGCCACCACCTAATCCTTGGTGTTACTACTTGTCGACGTTTTTGGATTTTACTCATAATACACACATCAAGGACTAGGACCCTATGTTGTGTCGTTACAGCATCTCCAGGGATCACCTTACAATTTTTACAAAGTTTTCTATCTGTGTTCCTAACCAAAAAAAAATCAATCTGCGACCTTGAGGCTCCACTTTTGTAAGTGATGAGATGCTCATCTCTCTTCTTGAAACAAGTGTTGGCAATCTTAAAATCATACGCCAATGAGAAATCAAGAAGAGTTTGCCCTTCATTGTTTAGCTCTCCAAAACCAAAACCACCATGCACCCTCGCATACTGACCAGCTTCCCTCCCGACATGCCCATTAAAGTCTCCTCCAATAAAAATCTTTTCACTCTGTGGTATGTGTCGAATCAACCCCTCCAGATCCTCCCAAAATAATTCCTTAAGACTGGCTTCTGTCCCGACTTGCGGCGCATAAGCGCTAACAATATTAACAGTCTCACGTCCAATTATCATTTTTAAAGAAATAATTCTGTCTCCAATTCTGCTAACTTCTACAACGTTCTTCTTCCACTCCTTATCTATAATGATGCCTACTCCATTGCGTGCACTTACTTTTCCTGTATACTAAAGTTTGAAACCTTGAATATCCTTAGCTCCTTCTCCACGCCATTTTGTTTCTTGCAAGCAAAGGATATTGATTTTCCTTTGAATCATAACCCCTACAACCTCTACAGATTTACAATTTAATGTCCCAACATTCCAAGTACCAAATCTAATTTTGCTCTTATGGACTAACTTCTTTAGCCGCGTGCGTCCAGAATGACGCGGTAGCCCTTGCTCATTTAACACTACATCCGGGCGCCGATGCAGCGGCTCTAACTCACTTATCACTGTACTCGAGCCATGCAGCGCGTTACTTACGGGTAACGACCTAGCATTAACATTATAACGTCTATTGTCCATGTTCATGATAGATTCAACAAATTTTTACATTGGCTGTTGATGGCCTAACACAACCCTCCTCTTTTACCCGGGCTTGGGACCGGCTATAAACATAGGCGGAGTTATGAACATATTCTCACATAACTGTATTAAAGTCTAAGTTGATAATTTCATAAACCATAACTCCTCACGGAGTCCTAAAAAATAAATACGCAGCTAAGTATGTGTGCAAATTTGAAAATGATATATAACTACTGGATATAGAATGAAAGGCATACCTGGAATCCCCAAAATAATGAATACACATATCTTGTGACCACACTATGTTCTGTAACAAGGTTAACAGCTTTAGCATAGATCCCATAAGGAAAACCAGCATCCGAGACATTGAAACATTGGCCTGCACCAGGACTTTGTAACCAAGTTTGATTGAATTGATTGATTCCATTGACCAAAAGAAAAGACCGATTGTTTTCTGTATGACCATGTCCACAATCAATCAATTGCATGCAGTGTGCAAATTTCTCCCGATGGCAGGCATTTCGAAGACATTGGTTGACCCTCTGCCATGAGAACAAATGACGAAAAGGGTTATGTTAATTATTGAATATCAACCATCATGAATGAAACCACTATTTCTTTCATACTTTAAGTTTCATTAAGCATCACAGGAAACAATACGCCTAATAGTTGAACTTTATTATCAGCATGTCAAAAATCGAAAAATCACTTCTGCTAAGTCATAGTTATACTTCATTAAAAGCCAGTTACATATAGTAACATAGAAATTTGATGTATTTAAGTGAATCAAGTTCTGCCCCTCTTACTCTAAGCATGGTTTAATGGTAGTTATGCATGGATTACCAAATTATCCACACAAGCGAAATTTTTTATAAGCACATAGCAAGTGTGGAAAGAATTTTCCAATTAAAAAAAAAGTTATTCAAAATTTCAACAAACTGAAAATAAAGGTAAAAATCTTCTTTTTCTATCCATAAAACAAATCTACTGACCTGTAGACCAAAGAGATACCAGGAAGACCCAACGACATGGCCAGATAGCACAAAGGTGAGAAGATTTATAAAGAAATTTGCCCATGCTGACTCAAATATGAATCCACTTGGAGACTGACCAATTAGAAGAGGAAGAAACCTGTACAATCTGGGAATATACTGAACAAGGACTGCTACACGTAGAAGATTCTTAGCATAATTAGCTCCTGATGAACCCAAGTGATTTGGTAGAACAAGCAATATCATTATCTGCAAAATTTTGACTAAAATATGTCATTAAAAGGAGTTTGGCTTTCCTGTGACTTATAAGTTATAACCCATATTCGTTTCTATCTTTCTGTCTTCATAAGATGGATTATCACTTCCTTCCTCAGAACCAACTTAGTCTCTGACACCAATTCATGTCGTCATAACAAAGATTTTCCATTCCAAAAGGAATAATAAACACAGTACATCTTAATAAACATGGTACTTAACAAGCAGCTAATAAAATTGGAGAAACAAGACGAGAAATACATATATCATAGCTGAATAATAACGTGCCAAAGTAAAGAGGAGAACAAAAAGGGAACCAAGAAAAAAAGAAGGCATGTGTCAATAGAAAACTGAGACAAGAAGTTATGATGACAAAAAAAGGCTATCATGAGGAGGAAACGATGATGGGGGTATAAAGTTACCTGAGGAAGTGGAAACACAACAAATAAGTCAACAAAAAAACAACTATGCAAATAATGGAGAGCAATTTTTGTTGGATGGTCAACTAAATCGCCAGCACCAACCACCCTGGAGTCAGGAGCCACATAAGCCAACCTAAACTGTCAAAAGGCAACTTGAAAGAATTATTTTCCATTGGTATTACGAAAAAGCATCAAACTTTAGGGCACGCGTGCATAATTACTGCAAAAATATATGGAAATTTTTTTTCCTGATAAAACGGTCACCAGCAAGTTACCTAAAGAAGCATGTTTAGGAAGTATACAAAATCATTTATGGATCTTAAGCAAACAAGTGCCCGTGTCAACTTCCAGTTGATGAAGATACATCTGTCATCCTGCATACAACAAACGAGAGAGATTTCAGTAAATTATGCAAGGAAGCAAGACATTATTGTAAGCACATCAAACACATAGGCATTATTAACCTAGACTACTTTATGATGCCTCCATGTCATTATACAAGCCCCCAATTTAACTGCCTTCTTAGGCAACACTAGGTGAAATAACAATCACATTATGCTAAGCAGAGACAGATGCAGGTGATGGAATATGATGTCAATAACATGATAATTGGCTGTGATCCTCAAGGAGGTGAGGAACCGCTGGAAGAACAAGATCATGAAGGGAGTCCTTTTCTTTGTGTGCTGATAGCAATTCTCTTTTTTAGTTTATTTATTTTCTTCTTTGGCCAGATAACAAAATTCTTCTTGTGCCAGATCTTTCGGCATAGAAAAAACGAATGTGGACCTCACACCACATATAAGAAAAAATCATGCAAAAACAGTACCATTATGTATTGTGATGGGGGTAAGGGGAAGAATTCTTAATTTGGAGCTGCACATCTAAATGATGCCTCAGGAAAGAAGCATGCTTTGCTCCGGACAAATTGATAAATTGTCAACAGAATACTAGAATGAAGAAACCTGCAGCATATCCATCACAACTTGTCCCCGTCACCCAAACTTTTATTGATCAGATATCAAGTAGAAAGCCCCAGTGAAGTCCGCTTCCCAAAACGTAGCAAATGCAAGGACCCAACTAAATTCAAGCTACAGGAATTTTTCTTTTTTTCTTTTTTCTTCTTTCTTTTTAATCATCATAGCCAAAATTCTGTCTTAGCCTGGTGTCAGCAGGGCAACGACTATAAGCTATAGCAAGTACCCACTTTATAAATATAAACACAAATGGGGCAGGGCTGCTAGTATCTTGCATTAAGCGTGTCTAAAACACACAAACATAAAAGAAGTCATGATTGGCGTTAATAACAACGGTGACAAGCCTTGTCCTACAACATAGTGTCGGCTACAAGAATTACCTGACACCATTGTGAATGATTGGAATTAAAAGGAAAAAATAAAATGAGAAAAACACTTCAGCACTTTCCCAAGAATATATCATGAGGCTGAAGAGAAACTAAGCGGCAGTTAAAGAAGTATCTTGGGCTCTTTTACATTTCCAACTCATTTATATAGTTCTTATTGAGCAAAGGTCAAGATTAGTAACAACAGGCACAAACTTTTCTTTAAATAAAAGGGAAACAGTAGTACCTGTTTTACACCGAGTAAGAAGAAAAACAATGGATCCACAAAAATTGCCAATAGGCAAGATATGGCAAAAAACTTGTTCCAATGCTGTACAACTTTAGCATGAGGATTCATAACTCCAGGGACACATGAAGACAGGGAAGAAAAAAATCTTCTTGCACAACCCTTAGCATCTCCATAGAGAGCATTGTGGAACTGTAGATATTCAAAGATAAAATATGAATCACAGAGGTACAATATATTTCAAAGAAACATCTATGACTTATGTTTTGTATTGACCAAAAAAATATGCACGGTGTGAAAAAATGTACCCTAATTAAGTGATCGGCAATGCATGAGCTATATGATCAAAGGAAAGCTCAAAATATAGTAATTGATGTGCTTTTAAATCAAGGAAAAACAAGTCTATTCAATGAAGATAAACACCTTGGGATCAAATAAACCAGAAGCCTTATGAGTCCTTTGCTGAGAGGTCTTGAAGTAAGTAGGGCAAGTTGTACAATAAGGATCATTGCACATTCCCAATTGCCCAGACCTCAGTAAGTGTTCATTTTTGTGGGCATAGTTGTTCTGCCAATCATTACCATTTCTTCCAGGCAAAGCAAATTTTTCTGTCATGCTCTCCACTGCTTTGTTCCCTGTGGCATTGACGTTCTGTCGGAAAAGATTTCCATGTCTGTTGGTGACATATAGTGGACCGCTCATCTGCACAAAGGGAGTTTTCCTCTCACTCCTTAGCGGACCAGTATGTCCCACAAGACTAGTTTCTCTCTCATATGGCTCCATGGAGCTCGTGGGAATAGATATTGATGCACTTCGTGTCCTGGATACAAGCCTCCGCAATTTAGAATCCACAAATTCAACTGATGGTTGCTCCGTCTCTGACAGCATTGGCACCTCATCTTTTTCCAAATCCGCCATCTTTCCCAGGAAATTCTGTAATGTTATACAACATTAAGAAAACATACAATATAGATATTTATATACCATGTCAGTGATTCCAAAATCAAACGTATCTAATCAAACTTGGAAGGAAAGAAAATAAAACAGAAAACAGAAGACAAGGTGCAGCATGAACGACAAGGCGTGACAAGGCCATATGAAACTTTACCTTTTATGACAATTGGTTTCATAACAATTTCATGATGTCTTTGTTCCCTATTATTTAAATCATCAACATAATATGATTTCCGCTATCGAATCTTGTAATTTATAGATATTGCCAGTTTGCTTGACCCACAATAGTTCGAGAAATCTGCCATAATTTCGAAGCTTTTCATTCATGCTTGTTTACATCTGCCTCCAAAGTTCTAAAATTTCCTCTGTGTGCTCTCATTTTCCACTTGTTCTGCTGTAGAGATTCTACTGATAAATCTTTACAGTTTTTTAAACTACAGCTTCAAACCCAATAAACAAGATTCCTAGAATGACATATCCTAATACCAGTAACAGTACGCCCAGGCGCTGATGTTCGAATTCGACAGCTCATAAGGGGTAAATGATTCAGAAGTCGTGCATTGGAGCCATATATCCTCAATTCCTCATGCTCCATCATTTTTCGATATTCCCACAGCATATGCGTTCACATCCTCACTTTCTCACACTAACTAACAGTGTCATTAATTTAATCCCATTTCTTCAAAAATTTCCACTTTTCAAGTCTGCCTGCCTCTCTATGCGTGTCTCCAGGGCGAAAAAAAAAAATTGAACGTGATGAAATATAATGAATAAAATGGCAAAGAACCAGAGGAGGAACTGAAGCACAACGTAGCGAGACAATATAAGAACGGGCTATAAATAAGCATGTAACAGCAAGAAAAGGATCCCCAAACAAAGATAAGTATCATAACATGGAAACCCCAGAAAGAGAAAGACCTGTGATGAAGTTGAATTTCCAACACTAGAGTCTCAAAACTTCACCAACAGCCGAGAATGACGGAATCTCCCCATTGAAAGTAAAGAAAGCTAGGCGATCATATTTGTCAAGAACGAAGACGAAATTCTCCAGGAGGGATAGAGAAATCTCAAGGAGGAGGGGAGGCAAGCAAGCTGAAAGCTCCACTAAATGTGGCTGACTGCAAGAAGAAGACTTTGAAGAGTTCCGCATGACCAGTATGGACAGAAGAAAAAAAGGGTTGGATATGGCATCATGTGATTGGTTGTGGCTGCTTCAGTACGAGGGGGACGGAATTAAAGAAGGCCCTTGAGTTCCCTTTTTTTTTTTTAATTATTATTATAATTTGGCAAGAAGACGGTGAACTGGACAAAGGCAACTTGCTATGGAAGGAAACCTTGGAGGAAAAATGGAGAATGTCCTTTTCAATTTGCCAAAATTTTTTTTTTGATAAACTTCATTTAATAAAAATTAAATTAATAAAAATTAGTTATTATTATAAAATTTATATTTAAATATATTTTGTTAAAAATTAATTTAGTATATTAAAAGTTATTTGATTTGTAATAGTAAAATATATTTTTGAATATACAATTATTAAAAAAATATTGATTTATGATAATTTTTAATTGTTATTATATAAATATAATATATTTTAATTTATAATGTTAAAAATTTGATATCAAGTTATTTATACTCTTTTAATTTGCAATTTTAGAAAATATGATAAAAATTTATAATTTTTATTATACATTAATATTAAAAACTTAATACTTAATTATTATTGTCGAAGTGATAATTATATTTTTAATAAATTAATTATTTTTTAAATAAAAAATAAGAGATTAAATTTGGATTAATATGATCAAATAATATCTTACTTTTTAAATTTACTTTTTAAAAGTTTAAATAATTATATTTTAAAAATTCACTTTCAACCATTATTTAAATATATTTTTAAAATATATTTTTTTATAAAATATTTTACTCAAATAATTTTTAATATTTTAAAAGTAAAATTTGATTTTTTGAATGTGAAACGTGAAAAAAATCAAATGGGTCCTCAACCTTTCACGTTCACCCCGGTGTGAACAAGTTGGCGTAGCTCCTTCGGAAGCGTCGCGTGCTTGATTGACGGGTTCAAATAAAATATTGAGATAGTCCCAACACGCTGGCCTAAATAAAATAATACGCAGGCCTTGACTAATTGACTTCTACAGATGTGGTCCATTCATGTGGATTAAAAAAAAAACTGCAATCATTAAGGGTGTGTTTACTGTTTAAGAATATTAATATACCATGAAACATGAAGAATCGATTATTAACAGAATGTAATAAGGTAGGGTGGGACGAAATAAAACGTGAAACATTTCATTGTTTAAAAGTTTTATCATGAGAATGAACAATTTTATTTAATAATTAGTTAAAATTATTATAAAAGGATTAGGATAAGAGGGAGTGAAAGTGAGAGAGGGTGAGGATTATTTTATAATAATATTATTTATATTAAGTTATTACATCCGCGACATTTCAAATTAGGAGGTCAGAAAAAATGAATTTAAAATAATTAAAGATAACTTAAAAGGTCTTATTTTAATCCTAACAATTAAATAAAATCTGGTGTAAAATTAAATAATTAAATATATATTTTAATCTTCATGAAATATTTCATGAGTATCATAATTTCATTTTGGCAAACTTGATATATAATAACTATATAATGACCTTTTCAATAAAAGTGGTTTCATCCCAATAAGAATATTTTATTTCATGCTTAATGTTTAACAGTAGTATTATACCTCACATTTACCAAAGGGATGATTCTCTAATATGTGGTCTTGGAGGAATAAAATGATATTTGATCCTCACTTTGATTCTTCCAAGATTTTTGCTGTGAGTATTTTATAATATGTTGATGGGATTAAGAAGGCTTATGATGTGGATGACAATATTTGTCTCAAGCGTTAGGATGATATTCGATGGTAGCCACCTGAAGAGGGTTGGTTAAAGTTCAATATTGATAGTGGCTTGGGGACGCTGGTTGTGGAAGAGTCATAAGGGATTATACTGGTGACTAAAAAAGAGTTTTGTTAATAGAGTTGGTAGGTATACAGCTTTGAAGGCGGAGTTATGGAAATTATGGTCTGGGTTCCTTTTTGTACAAAGATTAGGTCTAAGGAAGGTTATAATTGAATCTAACTGTACTGTAGTTGTACATATGCTAAAACAGGTGTTGTCATGTTCCTGTGTGAAGAATCGATTCCTTCGTCAAATCCAAACTATGCTTGATGCTAGCTAGAATATCTACGTGACACATACTTATCGGGAAGGGAATTTTAGTACTAATTGATTGGCTAATTGGAGTCTCACAAAAATGTGGATTACAAGTTTTGAGTGAGTCTCCTTATGGTTTATTTGATGTACTGTATAGGGATAGACTGAACTTGACTTACTCAAAGTTAGTTTTAGTCTAATTTTGTTTGGACTTTGCCCTTTTGTGTACTTAAAAAAATACACTAACTACCCATGATTTTATATTATATAGATGTATAGGAAAATATTGTCTAAGAATCCCTAGAAAGTTTTTATATCAAAAGAAGACTTTATGATATTTCACTGTATTTCCTTGATAATTATATGAAAGCAAAATTTTATGAGAAAAGACTTAAGTACCATTAAAGTTTAATAATTTAATAAGTTATTATTAATTGCATACAGTTAGCTGTCGTAATTCAAATTGATATTGTTCATGCAAGACTAACACTTGTAAAATTAAACATGTACTATTAGTTATTGTTACTGTTAATTACATATGGTTTTTGTCAAAATTCTAACAAATACGTGTTTACATAGGACCAACACGTATAATTAAACATGTAATATCAATTATAGTCACTTATTAATTTTAAATAGATCGTTGTTAATTACATAAGAATAATTGTTAAAACTTGAATGGATACTTATTTATATAGGACCAGCCCTTATACAATTAAACTTGTGTTAGTAGTTTTTCTAACTTATTTATTTTTGAATGGGGTAGTATTAGTTGTACATAGTTACTTGTCAAAATTTAAATAAATATTTATTTATACATTCATAAAATTTTAAAAATAATTATATCTTTTTTCACAAAATCTTACCCTCAAGTAGGTACTTGAAGATGAAGAAGCAGTAAAGTTTCATATTTTTAAGTTATTTTGTGATATAAAAGCTCTTTTCTTTTAGCAGAAAGACCATTTTATCAATCATAAAAAAGAAAAAAAAATTACAAACACTAATAAACACGTAAACAGAAAAAAAGCAACCGAAACAGTACAACCAAAACAAAAGAAAAAACCAAAAGCAAAAGGCCTACAGTACAACTTAAGAAAACAAAGCAAAAAGCAAAATCAGAAACCAATCAGCTAATACCCTCCTTCAACTACCTTGACATTCTTAAATGATATTTTCCCTAGTAATATAGAATATAGAGGTCATTTTCGCACTCCAAGTGTAAGAGTATATTTATTTAAAAAAAATTATATATTTAATCTTATATATTTAATATATTTATTTTTAATTAAATCAAGATATGTAAATCTTGTATAGATTATTTATTTTATAATAAATTTTTATTATAAATTTATTAACACATTAAAATTCACTTATCATGATTTTATTAAAAATAAATATATTAAATTCAGCCGTCATTCCTATATTTTCTTTTGTGAGTGCAATAAGTTAGTCCCGCTAATGGTAAAAATTATTTCTCTCAAGTATCAAGGGTGAAGGGTAAATAAACTTTTCTTATGTAAGTTACGCAATCACAAGAATCGCCCAAGTACTTAAATGATGAGAATTTCTTTTATTTATGTTAATTTAAATTACATTTCTTAACTACAGTCATTCAAATGCAAATGTCATCCTTGAATTTCATGTAATGTAAAGGGGAAAAAAGTTACACACATACATAAGGGAACACTTTTCTATAAACCAAAAGAAGTAATATTGTTCCCGGTCAAACAAAAAAAAATGAAGTAATATTGTTTATAAGCCATGAAGTAACAATAAAACTCGTTTTTTTTTTTTAAGCTTCGTATGATTAATTCAACACGTGTCTGGTTGGTTTTTGCCTTCTTTTTAATGAACTGCAGTACGTACTATAGTTTTAAATTTTATACATTGAAGTCAGAGAAGCCGAAATAAAATAATTTGCAGGCCTTGACTTGACTGTTACTGAGGAAACGGTCAAGACATGCTTGGACAACAAGAAAGAATGGCTAAGGCCCAAAATATCAGTTTAGATATTTTCTTCATCGTTACCCGTCAGTACAGACCTCAATTCTACCAAAAAGCAATAAAAATAAATAAATAACGTAACAGATCTCGAGTCTGCTTCCACTTAGAGTCAACCTAAAGTCCATTTAAATTTCAGTTGTGTAGAATTAATTATAAAAATAGTTTATTAATATAATTGATTTTAATTATAAGGATTAAAGAGTAAAACTGTTCTGAAACTTTTTTTCAAAACCACTTGGCACCATGAACTTTTTTTTTAAGTATTTTTGCGCTAAACTTTTCAAAAAGAGAGCATTTTTGTCATCGTTAGAAATTATGAACGTTGACCGTTAACTTAAGCTTGACTAAAGATTAAATAACATATTTGTTTTAGAATTTTTTCTTCAAGAACGGTAGGTACCTTAAACTTTTGTTTGGAGCTTGTTTATCTTGAAAATTTCAAAAAAATAGTAATTTTACCCTACTGTCAGCTGACCGTTACTTTGACTTTAATTGTCATATGTAACCACGTTGCATTTAAAAAAAAAACACCTAGATAGCAAAAACACTTCCATTTACATCAATAATAATGGCAAGAACAACTCTATGAATAGCAGGCAATTTCAAATCATCCGAATCCATACCTATAACGGGAAATAATCAACTATCCGTTGAGTCAATCTATATGAACTCACCATGTGGAAGCTCTTTTCTTCTACATTCAACAATTTCATTATCTCACTGAACTGTGATGACCCTGTGGACTCCGACCTTAACTCGGACTCTTTTGAGGGTTTCACAATATCAAAATTGACCACGATGGCGATAGAGAAAGCAACAACTTGGATGTTACATAGGGAGCACGTGGCAATTGTCAAGGGAGAACAAAGGCAATATAGGGGAAGTTAAGAATGGTGGATTTGCCTTTAATGGACAAAGAGGCAACATCGTGGGCTTGAGTGACCATTTATTAAGCTGAAAATATCGAGCTAGACAAGAGACTTCTTGTGAGGCTCACAAATCTCAGACACTTATTTTTTTTAGCTTTGCATTTAGACTCTAATTTATAGTAATATGGGAGCTTACTAGCAGAAGAGGAGTAGGAGGAAGAAGAGGAGGGAGAGGATGAAGAAGGCGGCAAGGCAAAATTACTCTCTTTCTGAAACTTCCAAGATAAACAAGCTCTAAACAAAAGTTTAAGGTACCCAGAGCCCCTGAAGAAAAAGTTTCAAGGAAAATATGCTATATAATCTTTGGTCAAACTTTAGTTAATGGTCAACATATGTAATTTTTAATGGTGGGGTAAAAATACTCTCTTTTTGAAAAGTTCGGGGCAAAAATGCTCCCAAAAAAGTTTAGGGTGTTAGGTGCCTCTGGAAAAAAAGTTTTAGGACAATTTTGCCCTTTAACCCTAATTATAATTGATCATATTATAATGTAATCTGTTTGGATACTTTTTTTAAAAAAATTAATTTTAATATAATTAAAAATATTTGGATAATTTAGTTAGAATTAATTTTAACCATACAAATTATCACAAAGGACATTCCTATTCAAAATTAAATTATTAATAAATTTGTATATAATATTATTAAATTTGTTAAATTTTATTTAAGAAGTAAAATATATTATTTAAATTATATATCTGGTTAATCGTAAAAATTTAAATTATATTAATATTAACATTTTAATTTGTGTAAATAAATAACTCAATATATCTTAGTTCAAATAAATTTAATAAAAGAGAAAGCTTTAATTCTTAAATACCAAATATTAATTTTATAATAATTAATAAAGATGATAATATATAAGTTAATCTCCAATGACATTATGGATATGAGCTATATTTGATGAAAATGCTATGGATGAATATTCATCAAGGTGATAATCTTCTTGATCCTCACGCACTATATGATTTTTTTCTTTCATGATGCATAAAATCAAAATGAGAATTAAATTGTTTCATAATAAAATTATGCATCACCATTGATACAACAACAATTTGAACTTGTATATCATAGTCATAGCTAAGCACATTACATAAAATTACAAAATTATTCTTTCAAACTTCAAATGTTCTTTTTATTGCGTACCGTAAATTTAAATGAAAATAATTAAAGACCTTATTATTATTTGCAAATTCAGTTGATTTTCTAAAATCAGAAAGATGGTAGTGTTTTTGTCTATATAAACCAAGATATCTATTTAGTGTTAGATAGTCGCCATCTACCAAATAATATTTACCTTGTAAAACAGAGATCATTATCGATGTTTGTAAGTTGAAAAGTCCAACATAAATAAATTGAACTAACAAATATACTTGAAAGCGGATGTAGAAAGTTGATTGGCTAAGTTGTTAGAGCACAATAAAAAATGTGAGCATCATGTGTAGTACCCTTTCATCCAGCCAAAAAGTAAAGCACGTGTCCTAATTATAGGCAGCCATTACATTTTGTGTTGTGATTCCTTTTCTTTCAATATATTTTGATTTTTTACTTGCAGGGACTACACATGAAATATGTGTATCATCAATTGCTCCAACTGTATTTTTAAAAAATGGTCAACATTACTTATCATTTTGCATTTTATTGAGAGATCGAGACAATATCGAAGATGGGGCGAGTAGATCCAGGCAACACTAACCTTCTTGGACTATGGCTGGAGCTTGTTGCCACTAGCCATAGCTCGAAGATGGCAAATGGCGACTAGGTCAATGGTAGAGGAGGAAGCCTCAAGAGAAGAAGGAGCACACATCTCGCGCGCGCGCGAGAGAGAGAGAGAGAGAGAGAGAGAGAGAGCACAGGAGAGAGTACATGGGAGATTGTTGCCACTGGCTGTAGTCGAAGACGACAGACGGTGACAAGCTCGGCGATGGGAGGACTGCGATAGAGAAGAGGTTCAAGATCGCGAGAGATGGGAGATCGAGAAACGACCAAGGGTAATATTGGCAGTGAAATTCTCTGACGACTTATTTATTATTCTAACGATAAAATTAATTTAGATAAGCGGGCAGGGGTAGCTTAACTCAACACGTGATTCACACCTCAGTGATTGGTTATCTGATTATTATGCTGTTTGGGTAATTTTCTTGTAAAAAGTGATTTCCTTCCAAAAAATCGATTCTGAAGGCAAACCAAATAGGCAGCCAGTTATCTTCCTCAAAAAGTTTTAAATTTTATTAACGTTTTCTAAAAATTTATTAAATTTTTAATTTTATCATTATTAAATGTACATACTTTAAAAATAAAATATTTTAATATTCATTCTGAATTATTATTCAAGATGTTTTCTAGAAATTACACTTAGTCCAAAATTAAAAAAACATTGCATATGTTACATATATATATATATATATATATAATTTTAAATTTACTTTGTTATATTTTATTCAAATAATTAATGAGAATGTTTTGAATAAATAAAATATTATATTTATTTTAATTAAAATACGGATGGATTTAATAATAAAAGGAAAAAAGTATGTACTGTGCGTACAGAATGATATCCAGCTGCTGGAATTCACAAAACTGAACTTTTCTCACATCTCACGGAGATAAAAAAGACTATGAGGATTATTCAAATATACATTAAAAAAAAAAACTTACACAGTTACAGTTTTTTGACCAGCACACAGTTACAGTTACACCTTATATAAGATAAATCATTCATTTAAACAAACCACTAGTTCCTCTTATATATATTAACTAAAAGAGTTTCCACTAATTATTAAAAAAAAAAGTGGCGGGAAATATATCTGGATAGAATAGGATTGTAGTTCTCATTTTTTCTAGAAAATATTTTTTTTACCTACAAAATATTGTATAAATGTGCAGAGACAAGAAGCAAGCGGAGTGAATCGAAATGTTTCAATGAAGATTAATTAGAAAGTTCAATGACGCCCCTTAATTTGTCAAAATTAATATTTGCCCCACTGGTTATTGCCACCACATGTTCCTCCTTGAGACCATAATAACTGCAATATGCCTCAGCCCCAGCAAGAGCAAGAGCACCTGCTGGCTCCAATATGCTCCTTTTCTCCTCAAACATGGCCTGCGCCAACTTGCATGTCTCATTCCATTATATGTAAATACTACTATTATATGGTGCATGTCTCATTCCATTATATGTAAATACTACTATTATAAAACAGGCTTACAGAAACGTTTCTTTTTTATACACAAGAGCGCTTAAAAAACGTTCCGTATATATATATATATATATATAAGCGCTTCCATATATATGAGAATATTTTAATAATATGACTGACTTAATTCATAAAGACTTCAAATTACATGTACGTAGTTCATTTAAAATGTTCTTGAAGGAATTAGAATTGATGACTCAAATTAAATTCTCACCTTTATTGAGGCACAAATTGAATCATGGCTGACAAGAACTATGCCATCTATTAATTCCTTGCATAAGCGAAAATTTTCTTCACCAACTTGTTTAACAGCCACACCATCTGCAAATCCTCCTACCTTCTCCAACGCCACTCTCTGGCCATGGTGTAGTGACAATGCCATCGCATTTGCATCGTTTGGCTCCACTCCAATAATCTTTACCCATACAATTGATCATGGTTATTATGTTCAAAGAGTTAGATAGGAGATCAAACATATGACATACTAATTAAATAAAAATAATAATATTTATTTGCATGTGCGTGTATATATATATATAGTATAAGAAATAAAACAATAATTTGTCCCAAAAAAACACAATTTGTCAAGTTATTAATACAATATATAACACACAAATTCACATGCCCTAGTTGCCAACACAATAACACCATAAGATTGAAAGGTTTAGGGTTTTTCAAATGTTAATTTTGCCCCTACTCAAGAGTCATTTGAGTCAAGCAAACCCACTTTGTGTTACAAGTTAACTTTGAATTTATCAAACCTGCCCGGCTCAAAACAATACAACCTCTTTAATGCCCCTTGATTGCCTTGCCTCCCTAATTTTTGTTCCTTTTGATCACTAGCTTTTATATAAAATGAGAGACATTTTAGTATCTTATCACAATGACTCAGTACATTTTTGTATTTTTTTTTTCAATTTTTTATATAAAATGGATAAAACAGCATAATTTTTGGGTGTTTTTCTTTGAAATTTTGTAAAAAATATTGCATCAATTTATAACTACAAAATATCAAAATATCTTGTATTTTAAGTGAAATTTAATGACTAGAAAAAAAGTGTAATCCCTTGCTAAATTTAATGAGCCAATTCTTTGTAACAAAATTATTGTGATTTATCCCTCGCTATATCAACTTTTTTTAGTAGTGATTGAAACGTTACAAAGAACACTAGAGAGTATGAGAATAGAAACCTCAAACTTGAATACGTACACGCCATCATGTTGTTTCGTGTTAGAAACTACATGAATATATAGGAGCCATTTGGTTGCTACTTGCAACTGGAAAGGATGTGAATAAAATAAATTAAAGAAATAAAGATAAGAATTAAATAAACTAAAGCACCCACCTCTTTGTAGTAATTATGATGAAACTCAATATTACATACTATATATTAAATCTATAATTGTTATATCTTCCACAAATTTAATAAATTATAATTCTCAACCTGATGAATTATATTACCTTTCTCCCTTTATCAATATAGTTGACTCATCTCTCCTTCATATCTTGATCATTCTATTTTTACTTTTATTTCTTTAATCCATTTTATTTATGGGAGAATTTCAATTAAGGACCATGAATGGGACTTAATTATTAGTGGGTCTCAAAAAAAATTTAAAATTTCCATTCAGTTTTGGGGGATTAAAATAGAAACAATTTCAACGGTGAAAAGATTAAAGTACCTTTAACTTGGTATGAAGAATTATTAGTTATTAATTTTTTTACTTCACTTGTTAATTTACTAATATGAGTTGTAAATTACATAAATTGATATATCAATAATTATACAATATTTGACATTAATTGTTTAATCACAAACAGCAATATTAGTCATTAAGTTGCTAACTTTACTTGTTAATTTACTAATATCAGTTTTAGTAATTTAAAATTAATGTTAGTAAATTAATAAATAAAGTTAACAAATTAAAAACTGATATTACTGCTTCTCTAACAAACGGATATAATTCATAACTTATATTATTAAATTAATAAGTGAAGTAAAAAAATTAACAACTAATGATTCCATATAACAAGTAAAAGGTACTTTAATTTTTTTTTTGCCATTGAAATTATTTTCATTTTAATTCTCCTGAACTGAACTGAAATCTTAAAATTTTTTATGACCCACTAGTAATTAAGTCCTATCTATGGTCTTTGATTGAAATTGTCCCTTTATTCATTTCTTTCTGACAACCAAACAAGCTGATAGGGTTTTGGTGTTCCCAATATTTTAATAATTTTCAAAATAAAACCAGCAAACAAGAAGATAATTAATAATAGTATATTGTAAACCTGTGGAAAAACCGGCTTGACACAAGCAGCAATACCGGCTATGAGACCACCACCTCCGACTGGCACAAAAATTGCATGCAGTGGACTTTGTATTTGGCGCAAAATTTCCAAACCGATGGTTCCCTGACCACTTATGATATCAGGATGATCAAAAGGGGGTATGAATGTTAGACTCTCTTCTTTGGCTCGTTTCTTGGCATATGATTGTGCTTCATCATAAGACTCCCCAACCAAAACAACTGTGGCACCCAGCTTCTCAACAGATCGCCACTGAAAGATTTAAAGGAGGGTAATTAAGGTCACAGGGGTACAGCCAGAAATTTTAGTTAAGGAGAAGAAAGGGAGAAAGGGGGATGAGAAGAGGATCTGCTTCTCTTTTTCAGTTATTATGGTTTGAATTCCTATAAGGTAATTTATTATAATTATTAATTGCAAAGGAAAACAAAACTGGAAGGATAAATTAGCAAATTATTCTCTAAACTTTAGGTCTAGTGGCACTATAAACTCTGAACTTGTTTATTATGTAAATTATTTTTTGTTCTCTCAACTTTTAAAAACTGTGCAATCTAACTCCTGCTATAAACAAAAGTTAATTTTAACTGTTAGTTGACTAAAAATAACTATAAAAATTACAAAAAATGACCAATTTTTTTTGTCCTTTTTTATAATTTTTTGGGTCTGTTTTTTAGGCCCTTGATTGTAATTGTTTGGGTTCTTTTTATAATTGTTGAAGTCCTTCTTTGTCATTATATAGTCAACTAATGATTAAAATTAACTTATGATAACAGTTGGGGTCAAATTGCATCATTTTCAAAAGGTAAAAGAATAATTTGTACAATAAACGAGTTCACAATCTGCAGTGTTTCTTTACCTAAAGTTTAAGAGGTAATTTGCTCAAATACTCAAATTAGAAGGTTACATAATTTTTTAACAATTTTAAGAATATAATTATAATTTTTTAATAAGCACAAAATTAATTTAAGTTTAGTTTATATATTAAGAATTGGAGAGAGTAACGTACCTTGATTTCAGGAGTGGTTATAGGCATAGCAATCACAGCATTACTGCAGTTCAATCTCTTGGCAGATAATGCAACACCTTGAGCATGGTTTCCAGCTGATGAACAAATTATCCCTTTTTCCAGTTCTTCCTTGCCAAGTTTTGCCATCATATTATAAGCTCCACGAAGCTTGAATGAGAAAGTCTATAAATGAAAATTATTTTAATTAATTAGAAACTCAACAATTACGTGTAACTTTTGTCAAGTGCGATGAAAATCTATCACCAATATAATATGGCTTATCAACTATAAAGTTACCGGCTGTAAATCCTCTCTTTTGAGCCAAATATTGACTCCTAATCTTTCTGACAGCTTTGGTGCCAATTGCAATGCCGATTCAATAGCGACATCATAGACCTTAGAAGAAAGTATACTAGACAAGTAATCCATGGCGTTGATATTTATGCTATCATCACCATCATTGTCATGGAGGTCTGGTGCTACCCCAAGGTAACCTGGTGGCCATTGTAGGGAATTAGAAGAGACCTTGAGGAGATGAGGAGGAGGATGGAAAGTAGTAGGCAAAGCTAATATTGGATCTTCTGGTGGTGAGGTTATGGCCGAAGAAGATGATGAATAGGCTATGGAGGCTACCTGCTTTGTAGCAGCTGGTTTGGACAAATTGGCATTAATGATGATGAAGGGCTTGCCAGGAAATCGTGTTTTGGTTATATGTTCCTTTCTTTTGGAGTTGCCAAGAAAGGATTGGAGGGCTAAGTTGTGGAAACGATCATGATGATAAAGAAGAGGCCTTCGGGCGAGAGAGAATGACAATGCCTCCATGGTGTAGAGAGAGAGAGAGAGAGAGAGTGAGATGGAGAGAGTAGGAATGAAGGAGATGGTACATCAACCAAATTTTATAGCTAGAACCATTCACCAACTATTTATGTTGTTAGAGACTACTACTCAAAATTAAACGAACGCTTTTTACCATTGTAAAAGTGGATAGACTTGGTTGGAAGCACTTGTGAACCAATGACTCGGCTGGTCTAGTCGATTGAATAAGTTGGTCACTTTGTGATGCGATTTCAACCCAACAGGTTATTACATGTAGATGAGTTATCTAGCTAATTATTAGCTTTGAAAACGTGATCTATGGATACTTGCAACCGTGCATGAGTAGGCTTCTAATCTTTTTAATAGTAGTGTTAATGAGGGGATGACTCTAGTTGCAGTCGTTCATAATGAGGTGAACTGCTTCTATGGAGTCGCAATGAACATTGACATGAAAATAATTTACCTTGGGAGAGTCCCGAATGACACATCCACATTGTAAATATTGAAACTTGATGATTAAGATGTTGAAGACTTTATGATTGGAGGTTACATGAATCAATCGGCTTAAATACATAGGTTACAAAATTAAGACAATTAAACAAATAATAAGTTGGTGGTTAATGCAATTAAAGCTACAATAATTTAGTGGTCACAAAAATTAATAAAACAATCTATTCCTTTTGAAATAATCGTTATCTATAAAAAAAATCTAACAATCCCCCAATTATTTTCAAAAGTACATAAAAAGAAAAAGTATTGTCTTGTGTTTGGTTGAACTAGTTGAAGAAGTTCAATAAACTTATAACGAGGTTTTAAGTTTAAGTGCATGCACACACATACACATATATATATCGTATTTAATAAATATGCTAAAAGTATCTTCTAAAGCACTCATGAGATTGTTATTGATAATAATGGTCCTATACAACAAATGTTTAGATTAAGTCTAAGCAGATATAGTGGTAATACCTCATGTTTTTCAGGATATCAACCGATGGCATAAATTAAAAAAATTTATTATCTAGTTAGGTTATAACTACGAGTACAAACCATATTAAATCGGTGTCTTATAACCTATGAACTACGCTTAGATACGTGGTGAAGTTGAATTTTCAACCAGAATCTCGAAATTGAAAAACTCTCGTACTAGAGGGATAGAGAAATCTCAAGGAGAAGAAAATTGGAAGGGGCGAAACCACATTACCCGAAAAAAAAAAAAAAAGAACTTCATTCTTTCCTAGCTAGTAGCAAAGCATTACACAATGAAAATAAGTAAGTAACTAAGCTTGCTTGTTCAAACAAAGCGAAAAAAAAAACAAAGAATAATAAAGAGTGTGTGATTCTTCGTACACAAACATGGGACCTTATAATGTATATAATATTACTCCCCATTATCTACAATACTAAGCATATTTTAGAAGCCTTATTTGTTCCAAAAAAATAGGATATTAAGTAGTTTTTTATAATTATTTTTGATTATATCCTTAGCTCACATTTTTTTAAAAAAAATGATGTATTAGAATTTCAAATGTCATTATTAAATTAAAGTATTTATATAAGACATTTAATGAAGATATAATTAAAAAATGTATACTTTTTTTGAAAAAAAATTAAGGCTTCAACAATTTTTTTAAAAAAACTGTATAATAGTTACTAACACCCAATAATATAGATGGGGAGAGAGCCTATATATATATATATATATATTATATTAATGTACTTTGTACAAATTATTCATCATTTAAATGACAGTAAAACATGGAACGCAATATTTCACAAAAACTATATGTTATTGATTAATATCAACTTTTAATTTGTTAAGATTATGTTAAATATGTCAAACATACTAAGTTTTAAATTTTATATATTAGATATTAATTAATTTATTTGTACAAAAAGTTGAATATTAATCCTAATTTTTATTTCAAATAATCAAAATACAAAGTATTACAAATGTAACAAAAACTTGGTCTCCCACTTGATGAACTGGCACCGCCCCTGATTGGAGGCAAGGTGAAAGCCGCACTAAGGAAAGAACGCACAATAGGGCTGAACAGTTTGAAGAGTTGGGCATGACCATAGCATACGTGGCATCGTGTAATTGGTTGTTGCTTCTCAGGACGAGGGGGACGGCATTGTTAAAGTCTAAAGAATGCCTCTTTGATTTGTATTTTTTTGTTTTGTTTTTAGTAGGAAACTCTGCAGGAGAATGTCTTTCGTCTGTCATGTTCAATTGAACGAGTTCAAGTGCTCTCTTGGGAAACGTCAGGTGCTTGCTATTAAAATATAAAAAAAAAATCATATTTAAAGATTAAAAGATAAATTATAAATGTATAAGTTTGAAATGTATTTAATTAAATAGTTTAAGTTATTTTGATGGAGTATATTATTATTAAATATACTTAATATAAAAAATTTAATATGGTATCATAAGCCATTTGATTTGGAGACAAAAAGAGAGAGGGGGGAATGAAAGAATGAAATATGAAAAAAATACAACAAGAATTAAAAAAAAAGAAAAGGGAAAAGGAGAAAAAAGAAGAAGAAGAAAAAATTGAATAAACTTAAAGCTTTTAAGACTAAAAAAAATATAAATCCAAGCGAGAAAATGAAAAAAAAAGAAAAAAATAATAGATGAAATATTAAAATATAAAAAAAGTCCCACATTTAAAGATTAAAAGATACATTATAGATATATAAACTTAAAAAAATATATAACTAAATATTTTAAACTATTTTAATAGAATATACTATTATCAAATATATTTAATATAAAAAATCTAACGGGTTTGGCAAATCAAACAGTCCCTGGCCAGAACTACAAAAATCAAACAAGGGGGAACAGATTACTCAGATACATAATCCCCCATACACCGTCCAGAATAATTGAAAAAAATAATATACAATTCCAGTGGATGGAAAATGCTGACCTAACCCCGATGGCCCGATCCATTATAATACATTCATTTTAATAATATATTTGATAAATTTAACAGTTATAGATTATGCAAAAAATTTGTGAAAAGCAAATTGTAGAATAATTTTTAAATATTAGTTGTGATAGAAACCATTTCTCTTTGTATTAAATTTTTGTTAAGTTATTTGAGCAAAATTATTTAACTTTTTATTAGAATTTTATTGAGTTTGCTGAATTTTTGTTGGAATTGTGCTACATGTATAAAGTTTTTCTCTATTTATTGAGTTTTTGTTGGATTATTTGGGCAAAACTAATGATTTTTTATTTAAATATTCATTTTTTTCATATTCAAATATGCATATTTTATGTATACAAATGAAATTATTTTAATTAAGATCAATATGAGTCCAAATTGACTTTTAATTAAACTACTAACACTTAATTCATTATTTAATGATCGAACCAATTTTTAATACTTTGCTAATATTCAGGCCCTTACTAATACAGATTAGGTCAACTAACCATTTAGTTATTAATAGAATGGAAGACATAAAGATATTAAAATATCTTTTACTGTATATAAAAGTCAATAATAAAAAAAAATCTGAATAAGTACTTGCAACTTTTTTTAGAAGATTTTATTAGATACTTAACGGTCATGAATTTGATGTTATTAGATTTTATTGTCATTCTTTCATGAAAAATCTATATATAATATAAAATTAACATCCGTTTTTTTAATACACTGCTCACTGTTCCTAGTCTACGTGGAACCAAAATAAAACAATATGCACTGGCCACTTACACAGGATTGGGTCAAGCAATGCTTGAACAAAACGATAAAGAATGGCAAAGGACAAAGGCCGATATAAGAATAGTCTATGGTTTATACATTTTCTTCATCGTTAATACAGATCTCGAGTCTGTGGCCATTAAAGAAACACATATCTGGACTCTTCTTCCATCTTTAAGTCAACCCAACTATTATATAATTGATAGTATGATTTCTCATTTTACAATTTTAAGAAGGCTTAACCCACAAATGAAGATAAGTGCAGCTCATAGAAAATGCCGAGGGAATGATGTGTTTGCTAGGAGAAAAATGGAGAGCACTTTAACGAGTTTGATTTATATATATAAAATAAAGAAGTGAGGTTAAAATATTTTAATTAATTCTTCTTATTCTTTTAATTTATTTTTTATATTTATTAAAATTTACAACCCCTTTTCTCAATTGATCAGAACCTTCTGATTAAATTGAAATGTGATTTTGACTTCACACTCAACATAATCTCAAACACACTTAATTTATTTTTAAAAAAAATATTCTGAGACACACATCCACGCAATTACATAAACATACCAACGTAACGTTGAGACATAGGACACCTTCCAAGAAGGGAGGTGGTATCGTCACCATGACAACTAAATGTTTGTTTAATAGTGGTCAAATTTCTTTTTTTTTTTTATAAAAATCTAACTATATCAATTTTAAAAAAGAAATAAAAAAGTAAACAAAAAGAACATAGTATAAACAAAAGGAGTCTGATTAAATAATTTCTTGAATTTCGTGATAAACACCGTCGTTTTATTTTGCTTCTCCATAGTCGCCTTTAAAACACTCCGTTGGTGGTCCTAAATTCTAAGGATAAAAGTTCTCCGAGTTTCGCTGTATAAAATTATGTGAATTTTAAATCATATATTAGCCCTTGATTAAATAAACATTCATAATTGGATCGCCTAATAAAAGAAACGGTACTTTACTTGTGTCATTAACCGGTTTCAATGTAATACTCTTCTGGTTTGATTTATAGGACAGTAAGAGAAAATTAATTTTAGTTTTATTTAGAGGATACTTCACTATTTTTTATATTCATTTTTACTTTTATGCCTTTATTAAATGTTAAAAAAATTATTAAGAACTGTTCCTTTTGTCTTAATTAGGAGATAGAGGTAAAAATTTATTAAATTTTAAAATAGAATTAATGACGTTTAATATTTTTTTTAATTTTAAAAAAATATGTTAATAATGACTTATAAATAGAAATAGAGGAAGTGTATGAATGGGTAATCTATAAAAATATACTTTTTAATTTTTTATTATATAATTTATGCTATTTAATTTAATTGGCTGTTACTATTATCTCAAATTTAAGGAACTTAAACAGTTAATTTTAAACAATTTTGATCCAAATTCTAATATGCTCCTTTTCTACTCAAGCATGGCCTTCAACAAGTTTCATTCTCATATTTATGTAGTATAAAATGCAACCATAGATGAAAACTATGCATGGTAAGTAAAAGTAGAACGGTGTAAAAGTCTTTTAATCCAATACAGTTCGATTCAAGCTCAGTCCTATTAGGTCCAAATAAAAATTAGTCTTTTAAGATCAAAAAGGCAAAAATTTAGTGGAGACTACATGAATCAATCTGCTTAAATGGATAGGTTACTAAATTAATACAATTAAACAAATAATAAGTTGGTGGTTAATACAATTAAAGCTACAATAATTTAGTGGTCACAAAAATTAATAAAAATTCTATTCCTTTTGAAATATTCATTATCTAAAAAAAATATCTAACAATCCTCCGTTTATTTTCAAAAGTACATAAAAAAGAAAAATTATTGAGGTGTGCTTGGTTGAAATAGTTGAGGAAGTTAAATAAGCATATAATGGGATCTCTAGTTCAAGTGCATCAATATATAATCATGTTTAATAAATATGTCAAAAACATCCTCTGAAGTATTCGTGAGATTGCCATTAGTAACAGTCTTGTACCAGAGGGGTTCAAATCAAGTTTGAGCAGGTATAGTGATAATACCTCAAGTTTCTTAGGATATTAAACAATGGTATAAAAAATAATTTTTTAATAATATAGATGGGGAGAGAGCATTTATTATACACACACATATATATATTAATGCACTTTATATAATTTATTCATCATTTAAATGACAGTAAAACATGTAACGCAATATTTCACAAAAACTATATGGTATTGATCATTTAAGCCAATAAGGAAATGGCAAAGGACTAAGGCCAATATAATAATAGTCATGGTTTAGATATTTTCTTTTTCGTTAATACAGATCTCGAGTCTGTGGCCATCAAAGAAACACGTAGCTGGAGCCTTCTTCCATCTTAAAGTCAACCCAACTATTATATAATTGACAATACGATTTCTCGATTTAACAATTTTAAGAAGGCTTGACCAACAAATGAAGACTACAGCAGCTCATAGAAAATGCCTAGGGAATGATGTGTTTGGTAGGAGGAAAATGGAGGGGATGAGTGATTTTATTTTAACGAGTTTGATTTTCTTTTTTATATATATAGATATATATATATATATAAAATTAAGAAGTGGGGTTAAAAAATTTTAACTAATTCTTCTTATTCTTTTAATTTATATTTTATATTTATTAAAATTTATAACCCCTTGTCTCAAATTTATTAGAATCTTCTGATTAAATTGAAATGTGATTTGACCTCACAACTTCAAGCACACTTAATTTATTTTTTATAAAAATATTCTAAGACACACATCCATGCATTTACACAAATATACCAACGTAAGGTTTAAATATAGGATATCTTTTAAGAAAGGATGTGATATTGTTACTATTAACAACTAACTGTTTGTTTAATAGTGGTCAATTTTTTTTATAAAATTTAACTATATCAATTTAAAAAAAACAAAAAGTAAACAAAAGGAACATATATGGCAAAACAAAAGGATTCTGATTAAATAATTTCTTTAATTTCGTGATAAACACCGTCGTTTATTTTGCTTCTCCATAGTCGCCTTTAACAACGCGTTGGTGGCTCTAAATTCCAAGGATAAAAATTCTCCGAATTTCGCTGTGTAAAATTATGTGAATTTAAAATCATATTGGCCGTTGATTAAATAAACTTTTATAATTGGATCACTTAATAAAAGAAACAGTACCGTGCTTGAGTCATTAAATGGTTTCAATGTAATATTGTTCTGATCCTATTTATGAGGAAGAAAAAAAAGATTAATTTTAGTCTTACTTATATAATATTTCATTATTTTTTATATTCATCTTTACTTTTATACCTTTATTAAATACTGAAAAAAATTATTAAGAATAGTTATTTTTGTCTTTATTAGGTGACAAAGGTAAAAAAAAAATTTTTTAGGACAGAGTTAAATGAGGTTTAATTTTTTTTTTAATTAAAAAAAATGCTAAAAGCTAATGATTTATAAGTAAGACCAAAGAGTGTATTAAGAGGTAACTCATTAAAATATATTTTCTAATTTTTTTTATTATATAACAATTTTATGCTATTTAATTTAATCAACTGTTGCTATTATCTCAATTTTAAGGAACTTACACAGTTAATTTTGAATAATGTTGATCCAAATTCTAATATGCTCCTTTTCTCCTCAAACTTCAACATGTTTCATTCTGGTATTTGTACGGTGCTCCTTTCGGTTCTATTTAGAAGTCATTTTTACCAACCTCATCAATACTAATACAACAAAAGTATAAAGAGTAACATTTTATAAAATTACAAACATAACCCTCAAAAAGTAAATAAACTATATAATATTATTTTTCTGTTTCTATCTCTCTTTCTCTCTCACTTTTTAAGGGTAGTTTATATATTTCATTTGAAACAAAATATCACTATCAATTCAATAACTTATAAAGTAGATCACTTTATCCTTCTAAAATGTGACTTATAAAGTGAATTGAAGGAAGTATAAAATACAACCACAAATGAAAATAATGCACGATAGGTAGAAGCCAAAAGCTAAAAAGAAAAAGAGAGAGAAAAAAAAATACTAGTTTTTTTTTTTTTTGGCCACAGAATATAGTAGTGGTAAGGGATAAGCAAATAACTTGTAAACCGCTCAACTCACTTGCATTCAGTCAAACTGGCCAAATATAGACCAAATTGTTTATGGTAAAAAATAGGCAAACTCCATAGCTAAACTGCAATAATAGTGGTGGTTACTAATGAGAGTTAGGTCTAGTGAAATAAGCTAGTCTCTTATAATATGATACATTAATGTTTAAATTTTTGTCAGGAGAGATGCTTATATTTAGTGCCTATATTGTTTTGAACAGAATTGCTTTTAGTAAGAAAATACTTGTAGATAATCATAAAAAAATAATAATAGTGGTAGTTTTTTTTTTTTTAAGAATACATAAACCACGAAGATGTGCCCAAAAAACCCGCTAACTATTGTGTTCATGATAAAAAATCATGTAAAAGTACCGTAACTCTCTACACTTTATACGAGGATAATTAAAAAAAAAACTACTTTACCAGATTGCACAGTGATTCACTACCCTCTATGTATCATAAGTGATGATCCATCCAATCTTATATTAAAACTCAAAACGTGGTGAATTTGTATGAACGAGCTGGTCAGTGGTGATTGACTGATCGCTCTTGTAATTAAGTTCTAGCGAGGGAACGTGGGCCTGATACTAATGAAATAAGCCCAAGGAAAAATAAGTTGGGCTGAGCCCACCTAATTATCTCTCCGAAAAATATATATAGCATAAAATAAATTTTCTTCCAGAATTTTCTGTTCAGGAAATGGCCGCCGCCTTAAATTTGTACTTAGTTTGCGGTTCAAGGAGTTTCTTGAAGCTCAAGTCGGGAATGGCATGACTGAATGAGAACGCGGAATGGCATCCTCACCAGAATCTGTGATCTCCATCATTTATTTATTTATGTATAAATATCTCCCTCTCATTTCCACCTTCCAACATTTTCTGCTTCTGCAAGTTCCGCTGCATCATTCTGGAATATTATAATTTATCAGCTTCATTTTCACAGAGCTATCACGATCTCCTTTCCCACAAAGCTTCCTTCTTGGTTGGATTCGTTGCGAGATCTCCTGGGATTTGGCCATGGTAAATTTTCTTTTCTCTTGTTTTTTTTCTTCGATTTTCTGTTTATCTGGAACAAGATATTTGGTTGCGGAATTCTTTACATGTTATTAATGCCAAAGTTATATGGAGGTACTGAGTTGTTTTTTCCTTGCGTCTATTTTTTTTTTTTCGATTTAGTGATAACCCTTAAGAGATAGGGCGTCTTGTTAAACAGTGGCGCATCATTTGCTTAAGACAAAGGGAAATAGAAGGTGGGGGTGGGGGGTGGGGAGATAATTAGAAAAGAAAAGGAAGAACAGGGAAGAAATAGAAATTAATAGGTCTGAATGAAATAAAAAAAAAATACTGAAAACCTAAAATAAACATTCCTAATTTTCCATCAGACTTTTTATTGGTCTTAAACGGCTTTACTCTTATTAAGAATGTCTGTCCTCTTTCACTTACATGTATATCTAATATTCAGTATGCTTTAATCTAAATCTTGTTTTGAATTCACTTGTATAAAATAGAAAACTGAAAGAGCTTGCAGTTTTTCGGAACTATAACATATAAACAGTAGTGTGTTCATTCAAGATTCTAATGTGCAAATGGTGTGCTATACTCTTGCAAGAAATGAAATAAGAACCATTGACATGTCTGCATTTTTCTTTGGCATAAATAGTTATATTACTACTGGAACTTGATTGCTTTCATGGGTGCTGTATCAAAATACGGTAATCTTTTAAGGCTTCATCATTGATTGAATTTCATGTTTTGAGCTAGACCCGACTCTAATATGAAATTCCATTTATGACAAAAAATGTTGATTTTGGCTGCATTAGTGTATTCTTTTCTATAATCACCAGATGAATATGTCAATGAGCTAAGAACCATAGGAGCTTGTTCTTTTGGCAGGGCTTTTACATCATTAGCCAACAGAAATGTAGAATTTACATGGCTTCCCTTTAAATAACAAACAAGCACAAGATCTTCCTAATTATTCCCTTTTGCATGGAGCATGTCACCTTTTTGCTTAGTTATAGCAATTCACGATTTTTTTCTTTTTTCATATCATGTTTATGAACAACCTAACACACACACACATATAATTATATATCCTGCCACTTGTATAGGCATCTCCTTTGGTCCTGGGTACTAGTGTGGCAGCTGCTGCCTTGGGGGGAAGATATTTGATTAGCAAATGGCATGCATTCAAAGCTCGCCCTAAAATTCCACGGACCCGTAGATTTTATCCAGGTGGTTTTGAGAAGGTTATGACAAAGCGAGAAGCAGCATTGATTCTTGGAGTCAGGTACATTATTACTGATAACCCACTTTGTCACTTAACTATTTATATGCATCTTGCATTGTTAATTGTGCAATTTTTGCTTGGAACAGCTGTTAATTTGTCACAGATTCTAATTCCGTATCAGTCCTGTTTAATTATTTCTAAAACAGAAATGCTTTTATCAGAAAAATGTTGAATTGTTTTTTTGACTATACATATTCAAGGCCAACTGACATTGAAGCTCAAATTAATGACCACTTTCAGGGAAAGTACTGTGATGGAGAAGATTAAGGTGGCTCACAGGAGAGTGATGATGGCAAATCATCCTGATGCTGGTGGGAGCCATTACCTTGCCTCCAAGATAAATGAAGCCAAGGACATATTGACGGGGAAGTCAAGAGGTGCATCTTCGGCCTTTTAGATTTACAGTTTACACCACGCAGTTATATTTTCATTGAGCAACCGGGCAAAATTTTGACCAGTCTTGAGTATGTAGTTTGGTCAAGCAAGCTTGCTTGCTTCTTTGTTCAATCATATTTTGATAATAATTGTCATCTTGGTGTCCAGGTTAGAAAGAGGAAAATGTAAAGCAATAAAATTTGTCTCCCAGTTGCTAACTGGTCGTATGAGAAATCAGATAACACATGCTCTGCACCAATATCTAAATTTGTGATTGAATTCTTTATCCTTATTGTTAAAATTTTTTTCTTGCTAAGGTAGCAGTTCTACTGATCCATCTTCTCCTACATAATTATTACTCAGTCTCTCTGTTCGTCCACACACCACAAGCTCACTTAAATATCCATTGTTCTAGCAACTGTAAAATTACGGTACCCAGCTATTATACTTTGCTTTTTAATGATTGATGATTGATTTGTGCCTTTATTTTTGAATACTCATTAAGCTTAGAAAAAATAAGTACTCGAGTCATCCAACTAAAACAATTTGATATGTAAATGGAGTATTTCGTGTTTTTTTGAAAGAGAGACTATTTTGTTATTTTTTGTTGTTACACGAGATGTCACTAAGATGAATTTTAAGCTTATGTTTAATATTTCGTTGGGTAAAAGTTAATTTGTTAAAAGTTTATTTGATAAAAATTAATTTAGTAAAAATTAATTTTTATAATAAAATTTATGTTTAGTTATATTTTTTTAAAAGTCAGTTTAGTAAATCGAAAGATATTTAGATTGTATAAAAAATGTGTTTTTAAATATATAATTTTTTAAAAAAAAGAAGTACTCATTAGCTTTGAAAAAAATAATTGCTCGAGTCATCCAACTGAACAAACTAGTGAAAAAAATAATTGCTCGAGTCATCCAACTGAACAAACAATTTGATATGTAAAAGGACTGTTTCGTTTTTTTTTTAAGAGGTTATTTTGTTATTTTTTTGTTGATGCACGAGATGTGATTAAGATGAATTTTTAAGTGTATGTTTAATATTTTGTTGGGTAAAAATTAATTTGTTAAAAATTCATTTGATAAAAATTAAAAAAAATTGTTATAATGAAATTTATATTTAATTATATTTTTTTAAAAATTAATTTAATAAATTAAAAGTTGTTTAAATTTTATTAAAAAATGTGTTTTTAAATGTAAAATTAAAAAAATTAATTTATAATAATTTGTAATTTTTATTGTATAAATGTAATGTAATATATTTAAAATGTTTGTATAATGTGATAAAAAAAATGTATCAACAAATTTTTTACTTCACTTTCATTAAATATACATACTTAAAAAAATAAAATATTTTAGTATTTGATAAATTTTCAAACATTTATTAAGAGTAGAAAAAAATAAAGATAGATATAATAATTTTATAAATGATTAAAATAAATATTTTTTTATATAAATAGGATTAAAGGAATACATTTAAAAATTAAAAAGTGAGAAAAGGCTTTTGAAAAAGTTCCCAATTGACTGTTCTAATATTCGTTTAGATTCATTTTCAAAGTCCTTTTACAATACTTCATCCAAATCATAAGATAAATTATAATTAACTAATATGCAGTTTACAAATAATATTAATCAAAAATTTAAATTATTAAAAATGTTTATATTTTTTTATTTATATTCTTATTAAATACCCGATATGAGAGTCATGATAATAATAATAAAATTTCAATACATAGTCTTTTCTAAAAAAAATAAATGAAATAAGAATATAGTTAAAAAAATAAATATAAAAATTATTTAATATCCTATATTTTTTATTAGGTAAAGTTTTTAAAAAATATCTTACGTTATAATCTAAAGGGAGTATCGATTTACATTTATTACAATTACACAAATAATATTTGAAATTTGAAAGTTGAGAAAGGCTTTTGAAAACTGAGAAGTAACTAAATATAAACAGGCTCTAAATCTTCATAATGACGTGGTTGGAAAATGATTTCTTAGCTTCATTATTGTCTTATTTTTTGTTTGAGTGAAACTAAGTATATATATTCCTAACTCAAAATGAGTACAACGTCATAATAAAAAAAAGTATCTGTCCAAAAACTGGAAACCCAATTGCCTTGATCATCTGTGATAATGCCCCCAGATGTAGCCTTGCCATTTGGCATTACAGAACCATCAGTATCTATCCAAATGAATCCTGGAGCGGCCAATCTCATTCCTCTTCTTACCCATTTTGTCCAGCAATTGTCTATCAGCATATGCATTCATAATGCATCTTCTAGCATCCAGGAACCTCCCAATCAATATTGTCTTATTGAGTGGGGTGTGGTAGAATGTAATGGCCAGGAGTGGAATTCAGGTCGTTTTATGGAATAAAAGTAATCTTAAAAAAAAAAAAAGTATGTTCAATGTTCATAGATAAAGCAAAGTGAGAATCAATGCAATTGATTGAAGCATGTCTGCAAAATTGCCAGACATCCTGGTCCCTATATAGATTATATACAGTCCTTTCGATACTTAGCCTCCCGCTAGCCTTGTTGGATAAACTTCCAAGTTGCAACCTAACTATCAGATGTTTAGTTCAACTTATAAGAAAGTTATAGCAGTTTAGTAAATGGTCTCAAGTTTAAACTTTGGCAATAGCATTAGTGATAAAATTTTTACTCGCAAGTATCCCATCCATGCTTGATCTAGATTAGTCTGAATTTCCTGCTACAGTCTTCTCAATTTGACATAAGGTTAGCCCAAGATATCAGGTGTTCCCCACAAAAATAGCCTTCCAACCTAACATTTGAGTAATTAGATCTTAGATCTCCTCCTCTTGAAGAAGCAAATATGCATGTATTTTTTTAATGAAAAAAGTTTTAAATAAATTTGGTCTCGAGGGGCTTATCAAAGTTAGCTAGTTAAGATATGTTTTCAAGCTCAAAGAGCATTCACATTTGCAACAAGACTTGATTGCACAATGTTATAAATTATGGGCTAAATTCTTTCTGGCTAAATCATTCTTTGTTAGTAAATATGTGTCTGTGTGGTAAATGGCAAGTGGTTGTATTGAGGTTTCATCCCAAATCCCTTATATGCCTCCGTGAAGCCATTTGGGCTTTAAAGTTCATACTACATTGACAATCAGAATCGTAAATTTGGGAGGAGTTGCGTTGAAAATTTTGAGGAAGAGAAGCTGTGAACCACCGATTGAAAAACAAAGGCACAAAACTTTGCGGGTCATATTGAGGAAAAAGTGGTTAGGGAAGTTAAAAGTTGTAAAAACTAAAGAGTTAACTTAAAAAAAAAATTTCCTCCTCCCAAAATTATAACTCTTTCTCCTAAATTTATAATCCCTCTTGTATGTTTTTTTTTTCATGTATTTACAATATTATAAAAAAACCCACAAAAAAGGTTATAAATCACAACTCTCAGTGTGTGGCAGTGGTCTCAGTGTGAAAAGGCAAATTCAGAAACAATATATGTGTGTATATATATTACACTGTCTCCAATCACATTTATAAATTACTTTTAATTAACTCACCAAAATAAAAGAGGTAATTAAATAATTAATTTTTTTAAAAAATTAAATTTATTAATTTACTCTTGTTAAATACATTTTTAAAAATATTATCTCTCTTATGTAATTTTTCAGTTCTTTACTCATTGAAATTTGTAAAGATAAAATCAAAAAAATAATTAATTATCTACTGTTATGCAAAATGACTTACAAACAAGAAGGAAGAATGTTTTAAATTTGCAAGACTATTGGTCCTAAAACAATATTAATACCAGAAATACTTAGATAAATTAGGTGTATTACATTATTTGTGATCTATTTAATTAAAATGCTCTAAATAATTTAAATAAAATCTTGTGTGATGTTTTTTAAATTAATTTTATTTTTATGACATAATGCATATTTAATTTTTTGTCTTTGCTCTCTCTATTATTATTAATATTAAAATTAATTTACATTTAATACCATCTAAATATAATATTTTTATTAAATAGATTACAAATGATGTGGTACATCTAATGTACTTGAGTATTTCTCTACTGATACTGGAATCTCCAATCACCCACTGGTTATAGTTTAGATGCAAAAATGTTTTATTTTTTGACTTGGATTAATTTTTTTTATCTGCTCAATTTTTACCGTGACTTTGTGTAAAAAAAAAAATTTTAAAAAAACTGTGAGACTCTCGTATCAATAGCTTTTTCAGGAATTTTTTTTTGAGTGAAAAGGAATTTCATTACACAAAACTAAAAGTGAAAATAGGTTAGGTTGAACTAAATTTCAGTCAAATAGGTCTGAGCTTATATAATAAATCAGAGGTTTGAGCCTGACTTGAAATTTGTATAAACTCTTTTTTTTATTCAAGCCTGAGCTTACTTAAAACATGTCCTAACTTAAAAGCTTATTTCGAAACCTACTTAAAAATATTCTTGTATTTTAGTTTTAGTTGTCTCAAAAATATTTTAGGACTATTATAGTATATAATATATAACCTGATTTATCAATTATAATATATAATAATTGAAAAGATTTACCAACTACAATATAATATAACAATAACATAACAACATTAAATTAATATATATAAATCTAATATGATTAAAAACATAACTAAAAATTAAAACAAGAATAGATTGATTAAAAATAAAATGATAAAATTAATGTGTTTATAATATATTACATTATATATATATATATGTGTGTGTGTAAATAGGCCTGTTTGTTGGACTCATAGGCTAGATCTTATAAAAATAAGCCTAGCTTATTTGATTAATATGCTTAATAAAAACCTAAACCTGACCTGAGCTTATTTAACAAATAAGTTTCAGGCCAAATTGTAGGCTCTTATTGAAGGCCTTATTTATTTTCACTCTTGGATAAAACTATACAAGTAATGTGTATAGGAGAGTGAAAAAACAATTATATCAAACTTTTTAAAAAAATCTAAAAAAATGAAAGGGATATAATTTTTTTTCAAATATTTGCTGCAAAAGGACATCTTTTTTAAGGGCATGGTTAGTGAACCATTACCTTTTTAGGGATCTTTAAAAAAAGAATCCCAATTACTGTTAAACTCTAAACACGTTTTGCCATTTTCTGCTTCTTACATTGCTCTTAACCTCTCAACATTTTACTGTGTTAATATAATTGCTTTTTCCTCAAGTGATCTTTATATCGTTTTCTCAAACATTGAATGATATTGATGTTTTACCAAAGACCAAGAAAATGAGTGATGTTGATGGAACATTAATATGTGAACCCACTTGGCCCTGTATATAGCGTCCGCATTCAGCGCTGAGAGCAATCCTCTCATCTCCATTTCACTTAAAAATAATTTTTTGCCATTAATTTTTTAATGTTTTTAATAGGAAGAATTAATTTTTTAATTTTTTAATTTTTAATTTACTTATAACTTAATCCCTCAGTTATAACTCATTGTGATTCAGTTCTTTAATTATGATTCACCTATGATTCAATCTTTCAACTTTTAAATCATTTACAAATGAGTTCCTTAACTTTTGTTATTTTTTTTATTTTAGCTTATATTTCACATCAATGAGCAAGAGAAGGGTATTTTAAAATAATATATGAGTATTTTTTTATCCCTCTTATTTGATAAGAAATTTTTTTAAAACAATTAGAAAATAAGGATCGAGTTATAAGTGAATTAAAAGTTGAAGGAGTGAATTGCAGTGAGTCATAATTGAGGGATTAAGTTACAAATGAGTTAAAAGTTAAAAAATTAAAAGATTAATTTTTCCTTTTTAATATTATATTTATTAATAAAAAATATAAAATATTTTAATATTAAATCTAAACTATTTAAAGCTTATTTAAATAGTTAATTTATAAAAGTAATATTTTTTTAATATTAAATTAGATCATCTAAATTATTTAGAGTCTATTTAAATAGTCAAATTATAAAATTATAAAAAAATTTAATATTAAATTAGACTGTCTATATTAACGCTGTACTAGAAAAATTAATAATGAATATATTCATTAAATTTTTTTATATTTTTATAAATTTTATTTTAATAAATGTAAAATAAAAATAATTTTTTTAAAAATTTAAATGATTCAAATCTTATATGAGAAGTAATCGGTATCATGTTGCTTAATGAAGACTAAAGGCAATGCAAATTTAATATTTCAATCTAATGAGCACTCAGTGTCACTGAACAGGACGGCCTTAGTACAAAGATAATGTTGTGTGGCTCAGTGGCGTCTCACCCTCATAATTCGTTAGAAAACATGGAAACAAAGCTCACAAGAGAGTCTTCGTCTTCCAAGGCATCCAATTCTGAGTTCCTGGCCAAGAAGCCACACTCGCCTCCTCCATGGGCATCCCATCTCAGTTGCTTACCCTCCCATGTCTTTTCCTTTGCCCACGTAAGCATCTTCCCTCTCTCTCTCTCTCTCTCTATATATATATATATATATATTTCACATCAATGTCTCTCACATATTTTATTTCTCTTCAATTCAACTCCTTGCTTGCTCATCATCATTGGGAAATTCTGTTAAGAGGGAAATAGAAGCAAGGGAAGATTTTACTTAGTTTGATTTTTTTTAGAAAAATGGAGAATTGGTATTCAAAATTTTTAGTTAATTTTCTTACCTTTTCTTCTTATATCTTTTTCCTATTAAATTTTTTACTTTAATTATATTTTGTTTTTAGTCCTTATAAATTATAGTTTTATTTTGTTATTTCCAGTTCCTTTAGTTTGATTCATTTATAATGTTAATATTTATAATTTAAAAAATGCATATAAAAATCATGAACTAACACCCACAAAATTTTGTTGACATAGGTTTAACTTTGTTAACCTTTTGGCTGACGTATGCTTATTCTCGTTTTCATCTCACACATTCTGTTAAATCCAAATATAACAGCAAGTTTTTATTTTTCTTCTTCTTGTTTTTCTTTTATTTTCAATCATATCTGATCAATTTATTTTCATGTTACTGGCATATTTTTACCATGTCAGCAAAAGGTTAGCAGAGTTACAACAAAATTACTTCATTCGATGTACTTTTTAAAACTAGAGGAACTAATGTTGCAGGTTGATCAAATTAAAGTGATTGGAAACAACGAAATAAAATTATAAAGACTAAAACTAAAATGCAATCAAAATACTGGAATCTATTATTGTATTTTCCCAATTTTTTAACTTTACTTGTCTTTTTTCTTTTCTCCCAAAACATAAGCTCATTAAAAAATTTCACCCTTCAGTGGTTGGGATATCAATTAAAATTAATGTGAGTGGTAGAAACTCTCATCACTTTAGCAAATAATTAAAAGTTAAATCTCAATTTTTGTTTATGTAATACCTTAGTTGAGAGAGCTTTATCATTTTTAGTACTTCAAAAAAGGTCATCTTTATTGTTGGTAAAATCTATTTCTTATGCTTATGGCTTATTAGAGTTTTTGAACCGAACACACTTTAAAATAACTTGAGCTACTTGGAAAGATTGACAGTACATTTATATAGTTGTGATTAACTATGTAATGACATAATATGAAATTATTATGCATTATTTTCTTTACTATTTTTTTTTTACTTTCCTTTCTCTCCTTTCTCTTTTTTTTTTAAATTTTATTTTTTTTAACCTACTTTTTTGGAGTTTCAAATGAGTCTAGCTCTTGATATCATGTTAGAGTTTTTGCATTAATCACACACAAAAACTTGTCACCAATATCAAAATAGTTTAAGTTATTTTGAAAAGGATGACCGCATATTTATGTAATTGTAATTACTCAGTATAAAATTATAATACATCTAGTGCTAGTGCCATCATAAAATCATTTACCTTCCTAATCGTAAATTGAATATGCGAATTTAGGTGATTTTTTTTTAAACTCTAAAAAAAGTCGTAGATATGAGTCAATGCAAAAAAAAAAAAAAGTGCCCCTTGTCATGAAAAAGTGGACTGCTTAACTAGGGTATTTAAGAAATTTGATGATTTTTCTACATTATTTTTGTTTAAAATTCTTTTTAAATTTTGGAGTTTTACTAACTAAAAGCCATTTATTTATTATGTGCTTGGCATTAGCGGCCCACTCCAATTCAGAAATGGAGCCTTCCTAATTTACCAAGCAACACGGAGGTGTGGCTCAAGGTATAGCTTTATTTATGCCGTTTTTTTGTATAAATCATCTAATATCTTAAAATATTTTGAGTTTATTGCTTGCCCACACTAATCAAGACCTTTCACAAGGAGACTTCATGGTGATAGTGAGATACTGATAGGATAACCTCTTTAAAATTACGTTAATTATTGAGTTTGTTACTCACTAAGGCTCGAACACTTGCCTTAGGGAATGCAGGTAGAGCTGGTAAAAAGGGCTGGCTCGGCCCTGTAGGGTCGGCCCTTGAAGGGCTCGAGCCTAAAAAGGCTAGCCCTTTTAAGCTCGAGTTCCCTTTAGGACCCTAATATTTGAAACTCGACCTTTGACATAGCGGGCTCAAGGCCAGCCCTGCGGGCTTTAGGCCCTTTTAACTATTTTTATTTTTAATCAAATAAAAAATTACTTCATTCTAATATAATACTCAATCAAGAAAGGTACAAAAAAACTAACTAAATAACATCTAAATGAATTAGAAACACAAATAAAATAATGGTAATGCAATAAGCAATAGATCGGCTAAGCCGACAAACACCCAATCAAAATTAGAAGAATAAATGTTGAATTGAATGAATCATTATCATGGATCTAGATGAATTAGGGGATTTAAAGTTGTATTTTTTAAAAAAATAGTAGCCAAGGATTTCTGTATGAAATTTATATCAATTAAGAATCAATTATTGTCAAAACCTGAATGAAAAACAAGCTACAATGAACTATTGTTAATTTAAAATAAGTTGTTATTAAAACCTAAATGAATATTTATTAATAAAGGCTAACTCGAATCCACAAGTATCTATTCAAATTTTGACAACAAGTGATCATTGACTGATATAATTTTTTATCAGTAATTCTTCATTACTATTTTTCCTTTTTTTTTTGCCTTCCATCCTCAGTAAATATGGGCTAATATGTGATGTGGAGTAAGATTTAGTTTATTTTTTTAAATCTAAAAAGAGTAAAAATTATGAGAATTAATTTAAAAAATGTATATACGGGCTTAAACGGGCTGGCCCTCGGCCCTGTAGGGCCAGCCCCTTTAAACCTTAAATTAAACAGGCTTAAACGGGCCAGCTCATTTAGCCCGATTTATCATTTTGGAATCTTATTTTCAAGCCCGGCCCTACTCTTATACTGGCTTAAACGGGCTAGCCCGACGGGCTCGACCTGTTTTCCCGACTCTAAATGCAGGCCATAATCCTTTCCAACTCGACTGAACATTTATTGATTTTATTTATGCTTATAATAATATAGTTGAAAATTATGATCTAAAAGGTTCAAACCCAAAAAGCTTTAAAATATTTTTAAAACCTGACTCCAGCCCTCAAGGCAAAAGATTTTCCGTAAGTGCCTTAACCCTAATATATATATATATATATATATATATATTTTTTTTTTTCTTTTTTCAATTTAAAAACTTGATAAACATATTTATAATTTTAAAAAAAAGTTATTGCACATTAAGTCCACAAAAAATTAATTTCATATTAAATATATAAAACTTAAATATCCAAATTCAATATCATATCAAAATTATCAAAATCAATATCAATAAAGACTAAACAATGGCAACATCATCAGCAGCATCCTCATGATGATATTGTAAACATGACTCGTGACTTTGAGTGCTTGAGATCGAGAGTTGAGTGTGTGCAGGCCGGAGGGACTGTTCTGCATCTGCCATGACTGCTGACTTGCGACTTCGTTCTATGAGTGCCATGTACTTGCTTCTCAGGAGGGCTTGGTTAAGTTAGCTATAGGAGTTCTTATGTTTATTTTTTATTTTTTCACCTAATTTTTTTTAAAAAATAATAATAAAACCTAGAAGGGCCAATCCTTTCCTTATTAGGCCCATTAGGACCATTTCTTTTAAGCTCAAAATTTAATTACACCTCTAAATCATTGGCCAAACTTTAATTATATTTGAGCTTAAGCAAGCTAGCTAGGCAAGTTATCGCGATTTAAAAAATAGATTATGATAGTATGTGAAAATAAAAATATGCTGATATACCATTAAAAAAAATTAAACAGAACACAAAAACTAGGAGTATTTAATATTTTTTCCAATATGCCCTTGTTGAACGTATGAAATAACTTGATATAAATATTTTTTCCCCCACTTTTTAACATTTAAGGTTAGAAAATAAAATAAATATTAAAGGTAGAACTGAAAAAATATACATAAATTTAAAATATGAATTATTTAAATGAATTTAATTAGAAAATTAGAATTAATTATTCTTATAATTATAACATAAATATATGTAAGACATTATAATTTTTCTCAATTTTAAATTAAATCCTTGAAATTTATTTTTTTAAATGAAACTTTTATAATTTAATCCGTTAGATTTGTTAACTCATGAAGGTTAAAATCCTAAAATTTTTATTTTTAAAAAAAGGAAGTTAAGAAATTTTATTTTTATTGAATAATTATATAATTTTAGAATTAATTACATAATTTTTATAAGGGTAAAATTTATTTACTTAGCTTTATATATTGCTTGATTTAAATCAGTTAAATCCTAACTTGTAGAATTTTTTTAAATGTAAATATTGTGTTAAATTATTTTTTATTTTTTTACCAAAAATATTAAAAAAAAAATTTGATCAACTTTAAAAGTGCTTTTTAGAAAATTAATCATCTTGTTTTGGCTAAAATATAATTTTTTGGCTCAAGCCCATCTAGAGCAGTAATTTAAGCTAGCTCAAACTCACTCAAAAAAAATGAGATTGAGCTTGGCTGTATAAGCTTTTTTAAGAGGGTAGAATATTTTAAATTAGATTTGAATAAACTCAACTCAAATAAATTTGACTACTAAAATTTTCAACTCTATATTTATATAGAGTTGGCAATTTTGGCTAAGCTCAACGGGCCAACCTGAAGCCAACAAAAAAAAAAGTGAGGATAGGATTTGATTATATAAGCTTGTTTAAGAGAGTTAGATATTTCAAACTTAATCTGAATAAGCCCTGCTTGAATTAAATTTGATCTGAATTACCGATTCTAAGCCATCTCATACTTTTAGAATCAAAGAAGTCAAATTGTTTAGGCTAAAACTTAAGTTTTCACCCAAGCTTACCTAAAACTTTTAGAAGAGAGGTGATTATTAGAAAGATTTAGTAAGTCATGCATCACTTTAAAAATAAGAGGAAATTGAGAAAAACTTCAAATAACTATATCTAATGGCCTAAAAATTGAATAGTGGAATTATATTTAGTGAAAGAGGAGGGGAGGGGAGGGATTTTAATAAAAAAAAAAAAGGAGAAGGAAGGGAGGAGGAAGAGGAGGGGGAGGGAAGGTGAGAGGGAGTAGTCCCTCCAAATTGGAAATTTAAAGGGAAAGGACTTTCACTACAATATTACCAAATAAGGGGTGGGGAGCCTCTCATCTCCGCTCTCCTTATCCCACTTAAATTTTAAAAATTTTTTTTCCTTCTAACCAAGTAAAGGGTAAAAGAAAATTGCCACATTTGCTAATAAAAAGAAGCAAGCCCCAGTGCATCAAAAGCTCCAACTCCAAGGCAATACATCAATCAACACCTAGACTTGTACATAGGCCCTTCATTACGTAGCAAATTAGATTTTGATCTCTTAAATTGGCATGCATCCACAAGCACTCGAAAGGACAGTAGCACAATCGCTCCAATGATCTCCTGCTGTTTTTCTGTAATGTATTTCAGAATAGTAATAGTGTTATTTGTTTTTTTTTTTGTACTACGATTTCTGTAATATATTTTAGAATAGTAATAGTGTTACGTTTGCTCTCACTATGTAATTCTTATATTTGTTCCATCTTATTTTCTTTCTTTTTAATTACTTGTATATGGAAAAATTATGGTAAAAGATTTCAAGTAAAACTAGAAAAACGGACTAACTCAACTCTTATCCTTGACAAGCATAAGCCTGAATGGGTTAGGCTTGAAAAGCCTATTTTCTTTTGAGACCTACAATTACCAAACCCGGCCTTTAAGATAGTGGGCTTAGAGCTGGCCTTACGAGCTTTACGCCCTTCTACTTATTTTTATTTTTTTAAATAAATACATAAAATTAAGAAAAATATGATAAAAATCATAAAACAAATATCATTATCAAATCTATTCCCTATAAAAAAAAATTAACCAAACGTTTCTTCCTTGGATGATAATCAAACAATAATGCTTGTGTGTGACTTGTAAGACATGATTAGGTGGGATAAGGATATTGAGATTGAGATTGAGACATGACTAAGCTCATACTAGATGGATGTTGCTATGGTTCAAGCTTTTTTTTAGATTAGATGCTCAGATAAAAAATGAGCGATGAAGAAGAAGACTGCTGTGGGAGTGTACTATGAATGTTGACTGTGGGGCCAAATGTGATTGCCGATTGAGAGCATGAGATCGAGATTTGGAAGATTGGAATTGTCGTTGCCTTGGTTCTAGACTCTAGACTCTCAACTTTGCTTTGGTTTGACTCAAATTAAGGTTAGTTGATTAGGGTATAGCAAGAAGATTTAGGGTTATTTTTATTATATAAAAATAAAAAAGTATGTAGACTTAAATGGGCTAACCCTACACCCATTAGAGCTAGCTTGTTTAAACTCGATATGAAATTTTAGGGTCTTATATGTAACCCCAATCTTTCTGTTATTTAATCTTAAGAACTCACCATTTGATTTATAAATAACTTATATTACATAGCTTAAGGACAAGATCTTTTGCCATGCCTGTCCAACATTAAGAAACTTAGAATTGCAAACACTTTCATTAATAGTAACATACATGGTGGATCAAACTATTAAGAATTTAATTCAAACAAAATAAACCAAAGGACTTAATTTTTTTAAAATATAAATAATGCAAGTATTGATATTAATGTTTGGGCAAGACTTGTATACTTAATCTTATATGTTTAATATTCTTTTATCCAATAAAATCAAAACATATTAATAATAAATGTTTGATATAGATATAAAAATACACGTGCATTACACGTGCATTTTAATCATGTAAAACTAAATATATAAATTTTTTCATAATGTTTTTGTATCTTGTTCTTTCTCAGTTCAACTACACTTTGACTGCAAATCAAAATTGTTCACAATAAATTTTAACAATACAAATTAATTTATATTTTTAAAAGCTATCAAATTTAAATAATTAAATTCAATTTAACTGTTTAGATTTGTAGTGTTTCTTGGAGGGAAGCCAGCTCCGTTCTTCCATAGTTCATCACTGCTCTCGTCTCTAGTATGTCCCTCCTTCGGTCTCCCCAATCTTTTTCGCCCTCTCTCCTCTCTCTTTTCCTTTCCATATTTTCTTCCCCTTCATCTATTTTGCTTTTTGTACTTCTATTCATTGAAACTGACATTCACAAATCATAAGGCAAGCAAAAACATCAAGAGATTATTCTGGTGATATGGTTTAATAATGTGGTTTTGAGTTGTCCATGATTATCTGTGAACTGGCCTGTTTTGATTACAGTCCGCATAATATTCGATAATACGATCTTTGATGGAAAACTGGTAAACCAGATCATTAGTTTGACTTTACTGTGTTTCCGAGTATTTCGTATGGATAATCTCTTTATTCATCCACTTGCGATCCTTTCTTTCTTGGATAAATGTTCAATCTGGATGAATTCCCCCCCTCCCCTCCAGTCTTTAACTGATGGAAAAACTTTCTCCAAATAAAGCGTGAGGGCCTGGCAGGAATTGAATTGGGTGGAAACAAGTTCAGGAAATTGGAATTCTTGATGGCAGACGCCGTAGCGCAAGGCGCAGACTGTGTTATTACAATAGGATTCATCCAAAGCAGCCACTGTTGTGCAACTGCTGTTGCCGCCAAGTATGTGAATCTGGACTCATATTTCATACTGATCACTTCTAAGGTTCGAATTCTCTTTTTTGTTTTTTTGTTTTTTTGTTTTGGTTTTTAAATGCAGTTCGACAACAATTTGCTTCACTAATCAGATAAGGTTTCCTTGTGATCTTTAATAACATATTCATCGAGTCTTCATTTATTGTCAGGTCATTGTTGACCAAGATCCTGGACTGACAGGCAACCTCTTGGTCCAGCGTATGATAGGAGCTCAAATTGAACTTGTATCCGCGGACGAATTTTTAGAATTTGGCAAGGAGGTGAGAATATTGGCCGTTTAATTAGTACCAAATACGTGCGCGTGGGTGCGGGTGCTCATAGTGGTAATTCATGAATAAACTACGCATTTCTCAAGATATTATATTTCACTGATTCTAGCATTTAGAGTGGATACTGCTTTGGCTTGTTCCTTCCAATTGATATTTTGATTCTTTTCTGCTCTCCCCAGCCTATATTGTGATTAAAGCAATGTGTGTGATAAGTGATTACTTTGGGCAGTGCCTGTGGCAAAATAATCATCATCACAGTGTTGAGCGTCCGTGAATGTAGAGGGTAGCAGATTGGTTTCTAACATACTTTTTTTTTTGGCCAAAGATTTCTAACATACTTAAAAAACAACTAATATGTTGTTATTTAGGATAATAGCTACAAAAACTGTCCCTTTGAAGGATTTTTTTTTTTGGGTGAAGAAGGATGAAGAAATATTTGTCCTACACTGTACTCCTGTTGAAACCGAATGTCTTTGTGCCTACACTCTTTAGTGTAACATGTCATAGAACTGTTTCATCAAGACACTGGCAGCAAATATCTCCTTTTCTGTTTCATAAGTTCCTTTCAATGATATTTTCTGGCTGCCTTTTGTTCACACATCATGCATTTTTCCAATTTCTAGCTAGTAGCATTGCATTTCACCATCAATTGGCTTATTTTCTATAAACAGAAAGGAAGAAAAAAGAGATAGGTTGGTTTTGTACCTCACTAACTAAAGAAGATGAATTCTTTTTTGGCAGATGAATTTGTAATCCATCCATATATATATTGCAGGCAATACCATTGTTTACTGGCATTCATTTCTTTCAGTCATCGAAAGTGATATATTTTGATTTTGTTGATTACTGATACTGAATGGTTTGGTATTCTTGTAGACACTTACCAATATTCTAAAAGAAAAGTTAATAAAGGAAGGGAGGAGGCCATATATTATTCCTACAGGGGGAACAAACTCTCTAGGAATATGGTGAGACTATAACTTATTATCTTCTTTCATTTTCTTCTGCTGTACTCATTTTCTTAAAAGATAATTCATTTCCACCTAGTGGGACAAGGTTTGTTGTTGTTGTACTTATTTTCTAATTCTCATATTTGACATGAAACTTATTCTAATCACAGTAAAGAACCAATTGTATTAACTATATTTTTTGTTAAATTACCTTTTTTAAGGGAAAGAATATTCAATATTTGTTCATGAGAAGGCTTCATGTAAAATGATTATTTAACTTGTTTGGTTCATGCAAATTTTTTTATACGTATAATCTATTATTTATGATTGTGTTTGCTTAGCTTCTCAGCTGCCTCAAGTTGATCGTACCAGATAAAACCAACTGGTTACAACTTATTGTCTGGGCAGATAGTGAAAGTATCTTCGTAACATGAAGCTTGTTCCCCAGTAGCGATCCTAGCAAAAAAAGAGTCTATGTGTATAATAAATATTACAGAAACCGTTCCTTTCAAACTATCAAATTTCACATCAACCCCCATTATGCTAGGTAGATTGAATTGCACAATTCCTTGTGTGTTGAAATTTCTACACTATATTATTTCTATTCAGGGGCTATATTGAGGCAATTCGGGAGATTGAACAGCAGATTCAGAGTGGGCCTGGCAATATTAAGTTTGGTGATATTGTTGTAGCATGTAGCAGGTCATTTTCTACTTCCTTAATCTATTTTTTTCTTAGTCACAGCAATTTTCTACTTCCTTGATATAGTCAATTGACATGCAATTTCTTTTCTTTTCTTTTCTCTTCTTTTCTTATTTGCTCCAGTCTTGGGAGTATAGAGATCTGGGGCACCGTTGCTACTTTGGTTTGTTTGTTTGTTTGTTTATTAAGATAAGGATGATATTGCAATTGGTTGCAAAGTTGAAGATAGGCAAGTTCAATTTCTCTGAAGAATTAATATTTGTTAACTGTGTTAACTTACAACCAAACTGCCAGGAGAAAGTGATTTAAGTTGTAGTGTTATTCATGCTTAGAGTAATCTGTATCTCAATAGAGCGAGATCTGTTAAGTCATACTCATAGTTTATTGTAATTTCCTCTAATTAACTATCTTACATGTATTCATTTTCCAGCGGCGGTACGGCTGCTGGTCTGTCATTGGGATCGTCATTGAGTTCATTGAAAGCTAGAGTATGCCTTCCTTTAAGAAGACTCTCCCAGTTGAAGTTATTGCATACCATACACATTACTTATGTTCTCACCATGGTTGTAGGTACATGCATTCTCTGTTTTCGATGACCCTGATCATTTCTATGACTTCATTCAAGGCCTACTTGATGAACTTGAAGCTGGTGTCAACTCGCGTGGTATTGTCGAAGAACAAAATGTGAGTGTCTTCTTAATTGCTGGCTTGCATGATTTTTTTTTTTTTTTAATAAAACTTAACGGAAAAGCTAGCATAAGTTGATTCATTGTTAAATGATGCAAATGTAATTGTTTCAATGATGTTGAGCCCAGAAACTGATTTAAATTGCATTCACAGGAATGTCAGGAACACTAGAAAAAGTAACTGAAAAACAAGAGAATATCAGCCAAAGAAATGATACTCTCTCCCTCCCTATATATAAGGTATTTTCTAAAAGTTTTTTTTGTCCCTAAATATAAGAAGTGGCAATGATATTTTTGATTAATTAGAGAATTTTACCTTTGTATTGGAAAATGGAATAGATAATTAGTTGTATGTTTTTCCTACCATCATTATGATATTAATTATGATATTGTTAGGGGTAAAACTAAAAAATTATTATGTTTTTATGTGAGTTCAAGTAAATAATAAACTTTTATTGATATATAAAATTCAGTTAAAAATATTTTATATATAAGGATGGAGGGAGTATGTAGTAAGAGAAAAACAGAATGCACACTTGCAATATAGCGTTTTTTAATCAGTTAAAAAACTGTACAACGAAATAAATTTAGCCATTTTACTTTTAGCATCTGTAGCAGAATGTAATTTCTTGCGGGAAAGGAGTGGACCCTGTCAAAATTTAGAAATCGTCTGACTCCTAGAGACCTTCTTCGAGTGAAAAATTCATGAGAAGCGTCTTTTTAATATGAATATGAAAACCTTCTTTGTAAATAGGATAAGCATGCCTATTAATTGTGTTATGAAAACTCAACTAAATTTCTTATGTTTTTGACAGGCGGATGGGCTGGGCTATGCAATCAACACCTCAGAGGAGCTTAATTTATTAAAAGAAATTGCTGTGGCTACTGGTGTAATTCTTCACCCATCATAAAGGTATTTATCGGTCTCTGTCATCATGATTTTATTAGCTTCCTCCATCTTCATTTATTTCAAACTAATAAATCAACCAATAACATGGTAATACAATTATTAGCTCCTCATTAACTGAGACTAAAAACTGGAAAGTCATATCATGCTTGTCCATCTTTTTGACTTGCAAAGTTTGCATGAATGCTTTCTTGCCAAAATGGCAAAAACCTTATGGAGGAAGTTAAACAACTAGGCATACGACTCAATGCAAACCTAGGACGCGTCTGGTTGTTAGTTGTTACATCACACTTCGTGCTATTTTGTGTACCATGATTTAGGATGCCAAGGCTTTTAAGAAGCTCATATTTTGTGGAAGATTAAATACCGCTGTATACTAGATTACCAAACAAAAGGCATTTTGGATGTCTCTTAAACATCAAAGTTACCAGGACCCAAAAATAGTGTACTAATCACCTTCTATTCATCTTCTACAAATAGAGGAACTAAATAATCTGTAACTGAGTGTACATCTTGTCAGCGGAAAAGCTGCTTACAGAATGTTGAGAGACATGTCTGAGAATCCAAAGAAGTGGGAAGGGAGAAAAGTCCTTTTCATTCATACTGGTGGCCTCCTTTGCTTGTATGACCAAGTTGATAAATTGGCGCCATTGGTAGGGAATTGTCATCGAATGAATGTTCATGAATCGGTTCCTAGGCATGACGGCATTTGAAAGATTTTCTAGACGAGACCACAAACTTGCATTGTCTGAATCACATCAGAAAGACTCGTTACAATGGCATATTGTCTGTCTCCAAGTTTTCTTATTTTGTTTCAGATGTAATATATCCACATAAAAATTGTCCATGAACTCTTCTCAGATGATTCAAGTTTGTAGAATCAAATAGCATTTGAAAGTATGTCAGTGTAACTATCATTGAACACTTGAATAATCAAAGCAGAACTACCGATTTGATGTGTAAAAGACCATTTCTCTATTTCTTTTCAGCACAGGAAACATAATCATCAAAAGAAGTGTATTTGTACCATTCTGGAAAAAAATTTCAACTTGCCCACAGATAGCCATTATGCTTGTGCCGTTCTATTATATACAAAAATTCATTTTTCTTTAAATATCCCTCATTCCTTCACTCCCTTCTCATGTATTCGGTCAACAAGAATATACATACATACATACATACATACATACATACATACATACATATATATATATATATATATAAGAAAAATACAGTATTGGTACTTCATGCAAAAGAGAAAACCTCTTTAAAAATAAAGTATTGGTACTTCATGCAACAGAGAAAACCTCTTTTGCCAATAATACTAAAGAAACTTGTAAATAAAATTTTAAGGTTAAAGTATACTTTTAGCTTTTTAATTTTGTATCTAATATTTTAATTTGGTTTTTTAATTTTGTAAAATATCTTTTTAATTCTTTAATCTTAATATTGTTAGTTTTAAATGATTAATTTTTGTATTAATCATTTATTTTGAAAACTTAATATATTAATATTTAAAAAAATTTTGTCAATATATGAAAGTTTAATGTAAAAAATTATTAGGATAAAACTAATAGTGTTAAAATTAAAGAATTAAAAAGATAATTTATAAAATTAAAAGACTAAAATGAAATGATGTGTAAAGTTAAATGATTAAATTTCTACTTTAAGCCAAATTTTAAAATCAAAAGTAAAATACAACTTTTATATTACTTGACTGAGACACAGAAAAAAATATAGGAAAGTCCTTCATTGAAGAATTCAAACTTACAAAACATGAGATAAGAAATTTTAAAAATCACTTTCTAAAAAAGTGAAATTAAAATTTACATTTTCAAAAAGTTTACTTGCATTATTTAAACGTTATAATTTACTTCTTTATGTTATTAATAAATAATTAAACTACCACCTATGCTTTTCATAGAGCCTAAAGTAAAACATGCTGTTGATAATTTATAAATAGTCTATTTTTTTTTTTGTACATTACATTACACACACACACACATGTTATAGATGTATATTTTGATATTATAATTTAAAAAATTAATAGTACTAATTACTTAAAAAATAATTCTTAAGATTTTTAATGTTAATTTTACCGGATGTGCGTTTTAACTCCAATTTTCTTTTATAGAAAATAAACTCACTTTTTCCCTCTACACGCAGGGGAAAATGGATCGATGGCATTAGGATTTCAGGGCGAAATGACTAAGGGGCGATCAAACAGAGGCACATCAATTACATTACGGTCCAGGTTCATCGTCCGGTTGAGCTGAGCATGGTATGAGATGTTGTACGCTCGCTGCCTCCACTCTCTCCATCTTCCCAATCCTCTGACCCACCACAGATTAAGTCCCCAGGGTCTTCCCTTGTCACAATCGCCTCCTCTCAAGTTCAGCAACGCTAGATTTCAGAAGATGGATGCTAAACTCAATGACATTGCCATCACCACAAACGAGTTTGACTTCCTCACCCAGAAGACTTACTCGCCTCCTTCCTGGGCCTCCCATCTCAATCCCTTGCCATCGCATATCTTCTCCCTTGCCCATGTAAACAAATTCACTCAATCTCTCTGTTTCTGAATTCTCACTTGGTTTCTGTTTGGTGCTCAGGTCGAGCAAGCAAAATTAGTTTCTTCAATTGAAGTTGTACTAAAAAAAAATTCAATTTCTCTCCTTGGTATCAGCTACCCACTCCCATTCACAAATGGAATCTTCCTAATTTGCCGAGCGGCACGGAGGTGTGGCTCAAGGTATTAATTCGTGGGATTTATGTTATTTAAACTATTGGTAATTGTTTTTTCTGCTGCTGTTGTATTCATTCTTCATCTATTTTGTTCTGGTAGTGCAATATATTAAAGCTGTCATTCAGAGAAGAGAATGCAAGCAAAAACGTCAAGAGATCATTTGACGATATGGTTTAAGAAGATGGTTTTGTGTTGTCCAGGGTTGTTTGTTAATGGCCCTGTTTTGATTACCACTTTGTCTAGTGCCTTGTTTTAAGATTCAATTTATAGGAAAATCTGATGGATCAGATGTTAGAACCTCATTTGAGTTTACTGTTATATTATGTATTTTAACTGTTTTTGAGTATATTGTAGATAATCTCTTTGTTCATTCACTTGGAAAGATGTTCAATTTGGATTTATACTTTTGCCTCCGTCCGGTCTTTGTGCTGACTGAAAAAGTTTTCCAAAATAGCGTGATGATCTTACAGGAATGCAATTGAGTGGAAACAAGGTCAGAAAACTGGAATTCTTGATGGCAGATGCCATAGCGCAAGGTGCAGACTGCATTATTACAATTGGAGGCATCCAAAGCAATCACTGTCGTGCAACTGCTGTTGCTGCAAAGTATTTAAATCTTGACTGTTATCTGATACTTCGCATTTCTAAGGTTAACATTTTGTTTTTCTCTTTTCATGTATCCCAATAACATTTTTCTCTAATAATCTTGTAAGGTTTGCTAGGCATCTTTAATACTATATTTAATATTTAGAAATCTATCTATTTGTAGGTGCTAGCAGACCAAGATCCTGGACTGACTGGCAACCTTCTAGTTGAGCGTTTGGCAGGAGCTCACATTGAACTTATATCCAAAGAAGAATATTCAAAAATCGGTGCTGTGGTGAGAATATTGGCCATTTGATACCGATTTTTTTTTTTCACAGTTGTAATTTGTGAACAAATTACATATTCCTCAAGACATTGTTCCTGGCCAAAATATTTATCAAGATATTGAATTCACTAATTCTAGCATTTGAAGGGGATAGCTTGGTTCCTTCCAGGATTTTTCTTTTTTCCTTTTTTCTGGCCTCCCAAATCTATATTGTAGATTAAGCTATGTGTGTGATTTCTTTTGTGTAGTGTATGAAGCAAATTAAATATCATGACAATGTCGAGCATTCCAAAGAAGTAGAGGGTAGAAGAGTGATATCTAAGATACTTGTACTCATAAGATATTTATTAGCTACTTTATTGTTGCTTTGGACTGAGCCAGCATCATTATTTTCAATACAATAAAAGCTACAAAAACTGCCCCTTTGAAGGTTTTTTCTTGGTTGTTGGAGAAGAATTAAGGAAAATTTTCTTTATGCACTTTAACTGTGGCTGACACTGTTTGTTTGTACTGGCTTGCTTTAGCATAACTTTTGGAGAATTGTTTTATCAAGACACTGGGAGCTGATACTTTTTTCCTGCTTCACAAATACCATTCATTTCAATAGTATTGCTGGTTGCCCTAAATTTTATTAGCCTTGTATTTCACCGCCAGTTTGTATTCCAAAAATGGAAGAAAAAAGGAAATTGTTTCTATTGATTGATTATTGGCTTTGTACTTACTCAAGGTGGATAGAGATTCATATGCCCTTATAAATTAATGAAGAAAAATTCATTTTGACGGATTGATTTGTGATCCATATTTGTAGCAAGTTATGTCTATTGGCATCTATTATTCGAGTAACCTAAAGTGCTATATTTTGATTTTTTTTTTCTTTTTGGCCAATATATTTTGATTTTTTTCTGTTTACTGTATAATTTGTTGTTTCATTAGACACTTACCAATGTCCTAAAAGAAAAGTTGATAAAGGAAGGGAGGAGGCCTTATGTCATTCCTGTGGGAGGATCAAACTCCCTAGGAACATGGTGAGACTTTAACTTAGTGCCTTTTCCCCTTTTCTTCTTTCGCACTAATTTCCTTAATTCCCATATTTGACATGAACATTATTTTAATACACAGAACCAATCACATTGATCATATTTCGTTTTTAGTTTGGACATTATATTATCTATCAAACTCACATATTTGATGGGATTTACTCTATTCAGGGGTTATATTAAGGCAGTTCGGGAGATTGAGCAGCAGATTCAAAGAGGGCCTAGCAATATTAAGTTTGATGATATTGTTGTCGCATGTGGCAGGTTGAGTTCTACTTGCTTGATATGTCTTTTTCTTAGTTACAAACATTTTTCTCTCACAGGACTGTATCTATATTAAAGGAGGCTTTCATTACATCCCTCTAGGATATGCTAATAAGCTTCAACTTGATATATGGTCAAGTGGCAAAGGCATTTTTTTTAAAATGATAGGGAGGGTCATTCCTATTGGTAAATTAATCAGGAGGTCCATTTTTTAGATCAGGATTTCATTGCAATTAGATGCAAAGCACGAGGATTGGTAATTTTAGTTTCCTCTTCATTGTTTGTATTTATAGTATCAACTTATAGCTAAATTTCCAGGAGAAAGTGATTTAAAGATGTATTAGAATAATGAACTGTATTTCAAAAGAGCATGATCTGTTAACTCATGGTTTACGATGGTTTCCTCTACTCATCATCATTCTTTTATTCATGTCCAGTGGGGGTACAATTGCTGGTCTGTCATTGGGGTCATCATTGAGTTCATTGAAAGCTAGAGTATGTTTTTCTTTGGGAAAACCCTCACAGTTTGTTTATTGCACCGCAAACATCATTTATGTTCTCCTCATGGTTGTAGGTGCATGCATTCTCTGTTTGTGATAGCCCTGATTACTTCTATGACTTTGTCCAAGGGCTTCTTGATGGACTTGAAGCTGGTGTTAACTCACGCGATATTGTTGACATACAAAATGTGAGTGAGTGTCATGGTAAAGTAGAAGAGGTCAATTTTTTTTCTGATTGATCAGATTTGGTTCGTTCTTTTGTGCAAATGTATACATGATATTGCTTGGGCTTCTTGCTGGAGTTTTCTGCCCTGATTGTAATGTTGTTCAAGGGGAAACAATTTACACTCATGGAAACTGCAATATATACTCATTTACCCAGTGGCTGGATTTGAAAAACATGGCTTTTTCTTTTTTTCCTTTAAAATAAAGGATATGAAATGATTAAATGAAATTAATTGTTGGTTTGAATGTGTCTTTATTAATTTAATATAAAGGCAACCATAAGTTGCTGCATAATTTAGCAATGCTAATGTACTTGTCTTTAATATTCTAGCTTGTTTAGTGCAAAAAGAGATTTACATTGCATTCACAGATATGTCAAGAGAATATGAAAAGTGATTGGATCACTGGAAAAATAGAGAATATCATCAAACAAAATGATGAAATGTAGTAAGCAAAATCTGCATGTAAAAGTTTAATAGTGTTCTCTAATTATTTCTAAAAATATACTCTCTCCGTTCAAAAATGTAAAGTATTTTTAATCGAATCTCACCCCCGAATAAAATAATTATTTGTCTTTAAACTAGTCATATCTTTCCATATTTATCCCTATTTAATAGGGTGTTTCACCCTAAAAAAATAAAGTCATCTATTCAACAGGAATACTTTTGGAAAAAAGATAATGATTATATCTTGAAAGATTAAAAATGCTTTATATTTTTTAATATCAAACTTCTTAAAAAATGCTTTAAATTTTTGAATGGAGGGAGTATAGAAGGATATAAATTAAATATTTTACTTTTAGTGTATATATGCATCCATCTCGGAATAAACTTTCTGGCAGAGAAAGGTTGGATCTTTCATAGTTTAGAAATCAATGATCGAATTTGTGGTTTACAAGTCATGAGTGTGAATAATTCAAATTCAAGTTGTCAGGTCCGACATAAATATGATATGAAAAACTTGCTTTGTCATTTGGATAATTTTGCTTATTAATTGAATTCAACTATATTTCTTGCGTGTTTGACAGGCCAAGGGTCTTGGCTATGCAATTAACACTTCAGAGGAGCTTAATCTTGTAAAAGAAATCTCTAAAGCTACTGGTGTGGTACTTGACCCAGTATACAGGTATTTATCTCTTGAATGTATATGTTCATGGGTTCATCAGCATCTTTCATCTCCTTTCAGTAGGGTTTAGCCTCAAAGTAATTAATCACCCTCTAAGATGGTGAAACAATTATTAGCTCATTAATTAGTAAGACTGAGAACTGAAAAGCTGTATCATGCTTGTTCATCTTTTGGACTTCCAAAGAATCCTTATCCTACTAGGCGAGATTGGCTACATGAATTGCACGTTGTTATTGTAATCTATCATCAATCAATTTTTTAATAATATTATTAACTAAAAAGTCTCTTTCCAGTATTCTCTTTAGTTTTTCTTTACTCTCTTTTTACAGGGTTCAAGATTATCTATTTCACTTTTTTCACGGGTGCCTCACACGGCCTTCTCTGTATATATCTAAATCATTTCAAACGATTTTCTATAATTTTTTTGTTAATAGATGCCACGCTCACTTTTTCTCATAAATGCTCATTTTGAAATTTTATCTGTTTGTATAAAATTGTGAACTTTATGATGGAAATAATGTTTGTGTGAATGCTGTTTAATTTATACGAGTTGTGTGTATGGTTTTTATTTTTTAACACGCTGTCAGCGGAAAAGGTGCTTATGGAATGTTGAAAGATATGTCTGAGAATCCCAAGAAGTGGGAAGGAAGAAAGATCCTTTTCATTCATACAGGTGGCCTCCTTGGCTTGTATGACAAAGTCGATCAATTGGCTCCACTGGTAGGGAATTGGCGTCGAATGGATGTTCATGAATCTGTTCCTAGACAGGATGGCATTGGAAAGATGTTCTAGACTAGAGAGCAAAACCTTGCATTGCCTGAATCGCATGTTGTGGTATTTTGTTTAATCTGTACTTTGCGGTGATGCAGACGGTGTACTCATCAAGTTACTGCATAATAACCATACCCATAATGAAACATTGCAATGGCATCATTCATGTCACTAGTTTTGCTCATTTTCTCTGGGATGTAATTTATCTCTGTATCTTATCCGAATATGCTTGAAAATAATAATAAAATTACTTGTGAGTTTCACCAAAAGAATTACACATGGGTGTGGTATGTGGTTTGCTGGAATATATGTGTGTGTGTGTGTGTGTGTGTATCTATGTATGTATAATGTGTGATCTTCATGAAGATATTGTGGTTTTTGTATGTGTTATTTTCTTATATGCGTACAGAAGTCATTCATGTAGCAAGTTGGGGGATCTTGACGACCCTGACTGACTCTGCCTTTTATTGCAATGTTCTTTCTCGGGTCATTAAAAGAAGCGTGCATATTTTTCTTTCTTTGATGTCTCGTTCGGTTACTAAAATAAAATGAAATAGAATGAATTTAAAAGGTTAATATAAAAATGAATTAATTATTCTTCTCCCTTATAATAAGTATGATAAAATTTATTAATATATATTATAAATGTGAGAATTATATTACATTTTTTAAAAATTTCGTAAATCATGATTTTCAACCTTATAAATTAAATTACCTCTTTCTTTTATGAATGTGATTTACCATCTTTTTTAATCATTTCATTTTTACTTTTATTTTTTTCTATTTAATTTCATTCATTTCTAATAACCAAACAGAGCTTTAATTTATAAAATCTCTCTCTTTTTTGCTGTGTTTTTTCTCTCTAGAGGAGACTGGACCATTCTCACTTGTATTCTTTCTTCTGTATGATTACCCCATTCTTAATAAATCATAATAATTTGTTATGACTTGGTAGTTGGTACAACAAATTTTTGACATGGTATAACTTAATGCCTATTATTTCTCAACTCAATAAAATACAAGGATTGAATTGTATTGAGTTTGGCTAGAGTACTGAATTAAAGTTTAAGGATTATAATTAATAATTGAGAGAAAGTTTAACAACTAAAAGTTATATTATCCCATTATAATATTATTTAAAAAAGTATAGAAATATTTAATATATATAAGTTTAGTCTTCCCCCCACTAATATACGTTGCCAAAAAGCCATGAGAATTTTGAGGAATTTATAAATACTTGTTAGAGAAATTGATATGCTTCCTCTAATCTTTATTACATGACATTTTTTAAAACAATTTGTTATTTTTTAATATAAGACACGTAAAGGGTTATTTATTATCATTTTTTAATTTTATCTTTGTTGTAAATTTAATTTTATAATTTACTATATATTGTATATCTCTCTTCCTATCTTTAATCAGGGTCAAGTTGATTTTTTTTATTAGAAGACATATTTAATAAGTAAACTGTCAGTGTTTTTTTTAAATAATAATTAACTGTCATTCTTTAATTTTAGTGAAATAGTTGAAAACATTTATAATAAGGATTAAAAAGAAAAATTTTAAATTTTGGGAATTTACAGTGAACATTTATATTGAAAAAATGATAATAAAATCTCATCAAATATATAAATAATAATTAAGTCTCTCAAAATATTATAATTCTTTTGAAGTTCTTGGGCACCTTTTTGACATTAATAATTTTAGGTTAAATGATTAAATTACCTCTTGTTTAAAATAAAAATAATGAGTCTGGCTTCATTTTCTCAATCACAACTTGTGTTTTAGTAATCACAACTTTTATTCTGTAAATCATAAAAACTAAACAAGATATCACAACTTTTTACATAAAATTTCTTTTATCATTCAAGTCTAAGTTCTAAAAATAGCTAATTATAACTTTTGTTTAAACAATCATAATTTTTATTATATGAATTGCAAGAGTTAAATAAAAAATTATAACTTTTTATGTGAATTTTTTTTATCATTAAAGTTCAAGTTTTGAAAATAATTAGTTACAATTTTTTTAGGTAATTACAATTTTTATTCTATAAATTGTAACAATTAAACAAGAAATCATAATTTTTCATGAAAACTCGTTATTTTTTTTATTTTAAATAAAGGGTAATTTAATTATTTAATTTAAAATCATTAATGTTAGAAAGATATTTAAGGACTTCAAAGAAATTATGAAATTTTAAAAAAGACCTAATTACCATTTATATATTTTATTGAAATTTCATTATTTTTTTTCCTTTTATATATATCTTGGACGAGAATTTAGAGTTGGAGTTTCTTGCAGCTAAATAATTTCTTAATCTCCCGGGCAAGAAAACAATTGCTTAATCTCATAACCGAAACCGTTTACGTTTTATTGTTGAATATGAACATCCAATAACTCTTATTAAGAAAAAAAATGAACATGATCCGATAACAATTGAATTATTATAAGCAACCTCGATTAGCAATTCTTATATATTTCATTTAAAATTGCTGACTTGTTATGGTCAATCACATTATTTGTGCCAATACCTTCTGGTTAAAACCAATGTCGACCAAAAAAGTGTTTGAAATTATTAATTTCGAACGTGATTCTTGCTACATTATAATTTTTTATATTATTATTATTATTATTTTTTTGCATTCTACTTTCTAGTGTCTATCTGGGCTTTTTATGTTCATCTGACCTCTGTTTTCTGTCGATTTCTGATTTTGGAAAACATGATAAGTACGTAATTGATATATTTAAAAGTCTGATGCCAATTTTAAATTAAATTAAATAATAAAATAAGAGATTTTATGATAACTGTTATAAACATTTTACTTAAATACTCTATTATATTTGATTACCAAACAAATTTAATGTATTTGATAATTAATTAAAATTAAAATATCTAAAAATCTGTATTATATGAAATTGGTTTTTGATTTTTCTTATGTTCACACAAACCCAAACTAGAAACCTTGTGCTTAAGAAGTCAATTACTATCCACTTTATCTTAGATAATTTTTTACATCATATAAAATATTTTATCTATATTTTATCTGATAAAAATTAGTTAACTCTTTTTAACATTGATTTTTTTAATATGAAAATCAAATTAATTTTTTTTTCATGTTTACTATTTCACACATTATATTATAAATATCTTTATATCCAGTTTTGGTTTTGTATCTTCACATAAAATAATTATCTTATAGATGTAGTGATATATTTTGACATTACTTTTTATTTTATAATATAATTATTTTTATATAATAATCAAAGTTTAATTTGATTTGTCTTTATCGATGTTTACTTATCTATCATCATAAAAATCTATTTAAGACCTGCTGTCTCGCTCCTTCATTTTTGCATATATTTTCGAAATTCTTCATCTTCATCCCCACAGGTTACCTTCTTTCAACTTGTTTTTGCTTCATCTCTACCTTCTTCTTTTGCTTCTAAATAATATCATTGTCATATTAATATATATGAATTTAATTTATGGAAATTACTAAATATGTTGTCTCTGGCCTGATTTTAACTTGAATATTCTTTCAGGTCGTTCATATTTGATATTCTCATATCTGGAGAAGCCTGGTCTTTTCCCAGAAACGTGACAAAACTTTGCGAACAAAAGTCAAGGTATTTTATTTATGTATTCATATACATATATTTATGCTCTTCAAAAACTAAACTACATGCACTTGGATATCTTTATCTCAAAACTTGTCATAACTGCACAACCTGTAAAAGTGATTATATATATCCATGCATGTGTGTGTATTAAAAAGAGCATGGATGAACGTTCATTAGATAGTTGACGCTGTCTTGGTAATTATCATTCCCTTACAGTTAGTTTATAAGACAGTTTTTAAGGTAATTTGATATCTCAAAACAGAAAAATATAAGATATTTTGACAAAAAAAAATTTTATTAATTATACTGGCTCTAATATTACCCTTCATTTCTTATTATATTTTCTCTCTTTATTTAATGTTTCACAAATACAGTTATATCAAATGAAAATATTTTTAAAAATTTATGTTTTTTTAAATAAAATTATAAAGTATATTTAATAAATTTTATTAGTACACGTGATTTTATTTTGCTAAAAAATATTTTATAAACTAAGATTTTATAAACTAGGAGGGAGGGAGTTTGTGCACGCGCATGCAAGCGCGTGTGTGTGACAGATTTTAGTAGCATATATCCTTTGATATGTCAGTTGACTGGTGTATTTTTTGATATTCTGAAATTAGATAATGATGATGAATATTTAGAAATCAGTGATATGCAATTGCTTGCTTCTTATGATATAGATAGAATATGTTTCATCAGTTGCCCTTTGTTCTTCTGGTCAGAACAACAAGTCAATAATAAATGGCATCATCATCAACGGAAACAGTCAGTGTTGATAAATTTGATGAACTTTATTTGAATGAAAAAGTAGAACCATGGATTCCCACAGATCTACAAATTGATCCTGGTAGAGAAGAAGCATTGATGAAGAAAATGAAAAGATTAATTAATGAACTTGAGAGCTCCCAATTCTATCACGATTTCCAAGACGAGGCACAAAGTTCACCCATTTCTGAGCACATTCATAAAGTTTTGGGATCAGAGTCAAAGATGCAAACGATCATTTATGGACTTGGCAGTATTGAATTGGATGAAGAAGACCATCCTGGGTTGCAACTCAGTCTTGCAATATTAATGAAAAAGGATTTCAATTGGATCGGAGATATAGAAGTGTTTGATCCTATTCTTTCAACAACTGAAACCGAGTTTTGAAATCTTTTGGTTGTTCTGTCTTATCATTCAACGAACATGGAAGGAGGCAAGCCCTGAAACCAACTATGTTCTTCATGCCACACTGTGAAGAGAAGTTATACAACAATCTCTTAATGGCAAATTGGAAAACGAATCTACTAAGTAATGTAAAATTTGGTAACAGCCTTGATTCCTATATCAGCCATACTCTAGAGGTTATAAAGAACAACCCTTATTCAAAAGATCCAAGGAAAAGAAAATTAGGTATTGGGTTGCGATGGGCCATATTTTGGCTGCTCAAACATTTACGAACGAGTTCAAAATGAGAACAATTCCGTCTGACTGTAGTAGTAGTGATGAAGAAGAAATTGTTGGGCATGAGTATGAGGATGCCTTTTTTAATTTAAGTGGGCACTTTTTTGGGCCTCTCACAGAGACAAAGATGCAAATGATGAGAGACAGTACAAGTGAAGAGTACGGTGTGTCTATAATTGATGAGAAGGATTACCTCAGAAGTCAGCTGACAGCAACAGTGTATCGTGGAAGGATTAGTGTTTCTAGAATCAGTTTTAGTGCTAATTACCAAAATTGATGAGAATAGACTATCCACAATTAATGTAATTTTATTTTTTTGTTTTTAATAAATTATTGTTTTAATAGATGTAAAATTTAAACTACAGATAATTTAAATGTCACTTTGCCAAAAAAACTTATATAAAAAATTAGACGTTAAGAATTTTAAATAGGTTAAAATATACTTTTACTCTTCTAACTTTATACAAGATTTTTAATTTAGTCCTTTAATTTTTTAGAGTATCTTTTTGATCTTTTAATCCTAACATTGTTAGTTTTAAATAATTATTTTTATGTCAATCATTATCATTTTAAAAAAATTAAACTTAATATATCAATATTTGAGAATGTTTTGTCAATGTTTAAAAGTTTAATTTAAAAATTTATTAAAATAAAACTAACAGTGTTAGAGTTAAATGATTAAAAAAAATATTTTATAAAGTTAAAGAATTACAATAAAACATCATGTATAATTAAATAATTAAATATATACTTTAACCTTTTAAATATAAATTGTTGAAATCAGGTTTAGATAACTTAGATGTTACCACATTAATGAACATCGTGGCGCCTACTATTATGATGAGCATTGAATCATACTCTTGTCATAAAAACAACCTGAAAACAGAAATCTTGGACCATACGTTATACTACTAATTCAGTCAGGTTGGGCTTAATTCAACCGATTTTAGGGGGGGTGTGACATCGTGCTAACCTTAATTTGAGAATGTCTGGTGCATCTGGAAAGAAAAAGTTTGAGTAAATGTACACTTACACTAAAATTTATTCCTTCAAAGCTTGGGAAGATAATACAGAACATTAATCAATGGCCAAAACAAGGATCCATTCCAAAAGTTAAAGCATATAAACGAAAAATGGTTCAATAAAATATTATTTGCAAAATGGGTTCCTTCATACATATCAACTTATATCAAGGCAACTTAGAACCATGACAAACTGCTGCAAGATTCTTTAACGTTCTCCATATTTCCTTGCGCCTGATTCTTTCATATGAAGTGATTCATGAGCAGAACCTATATGACAATCCAACATATAACATCAAAACTGCCCACCTTAACGTGAAGGCTCAAACACAAGCGGGCTCAAGCAGTAGCTGTAGCACTCGAGTCCTGGCCGCTGGAATTGTTCTTGCGACCCCAGATGGAAGTGGTCTCAATAAGTTGATGAGGCACGAGCCGTCTTTCTCGCTTAGTGAGCTTCCGAAAGTTGTGAACCCTGAGCCTAGCTATCTCTGCTTCCTCTTCAGGAGTTATCTCTCTCACCACAACTGTTAGTCTGCACTCTGGTCGGACTTTCACTCCACATCTTCCTTTGGAATGATAGGAAACTCTCTTTTTGAAGAATCCCTTTCCTACAAATGCTTCAGCTGCAAGAAAGGTGGTAATGTAGGCCACATGAGCAGGATGAAAACAGAGTGACAAGGCAATTTCATTTCACATCATTACCAACGATGAGCCGATCTGGATCCATCCCATGATTATGTGATGCATTTGCTCGAGCTGAATGAATAACCTACAATGAGCAGAATTTTCGTGAAATGACATCTAAATTTTTCCTTCCCATAAAAGATAGAAATAGAATCTTGATAGACATTGAAAAGGCCTCGAATAAAAATTCAGAAGTTTCTGTGTATAAAATAAAGGTAAGAATAAACCAGAATAAAACACCGAAAAGGAAGGCCTAATAGATATGTGTTGCATCAGAAAATGACTCTAGGAAGCACCTACGAATGCAATTTCTTCGCCATTAGTCATTGCAAAGTCCAAACACCTTGGACTCTAGAAAGTTACGTTAAAATAGATATTCCCAAGGTCAACCACTGGAAAATAAGGAGAAAAAATACAAGAGGAAGAAGTGGATTGGATGAAAAAAAGAAACTCTTACGCGTGCCTGAGGACTTGAGAACCATTTAAATTCTCATCCTCACAGTCGGCACAAAAAATCCAAATGCCACGCACCTGGTATACAGTTTTGCAAGCCCTCTTCACTGTCACCTGCAACTGCAGCAATGCATCTTCAACTCGCATACCACGAACTAAAGCAGCGACCAAGTTGACCTTCTTCGGACTCTAAGAACAAGGTAGTCACAGTCATTTTTTAATGCATGTATGAAAAGGAAATGACTTTTCAGAACAGTATGATCATTTAGAAATGCAGGTCAGATACTTGAAACTTGGTTGAGATAAAGGTTATGAAATGCTCCCCAACCAGGTAAATGGGAGGCGAAGGAGCCATATGAATAAAACAACATTATTCACTTTTCAAATTATTATGACGGTCAATTTTGAGCTAACTGAAATCTTCATCTTGGTAAGGAACAATATATGGCCTCTTTGCAAAATCTCGTTAAATTTAAATAATGTTCTATTTCAGAACTATTTGACTCTCAACCAGTATAGTGTTCCACTTGATACGCTTTAGCAGGTGTTCAGTATATTGTCATCTTGAATGAAGATGTCGATGCTTGAGATACATGTCATCAAAGATATCATGTTGCCACAGGATGGAACCATTTGGGAAATATCTCTTAGCATAAAAAAAAAAAAGTATAAATCTCACATCATGACCTTTTCAAGTCATTAATTTTTTTTATATAAAAGCACTTGTATCCTTTCTAAGGCAACTTCTGCCAATTATTGACATCTTAAATACCATGGTATGTTATGCTGTAGAAACCTAAAGCATGGTATCCAGAATAACATCCAATGCAAAATAATAGTGAACCAAATACATTGTTATATATCCATAAATTTACTAGAATCATGATCCTCATTAGCACTACAAAAAGGAAAAAATGAAGAAGTTTACAAAATGCATAATTTGTGCATGATTGAAGATTGAGCACTTAAAATTATGCATATCTGAAAACTTCAAATAATCAGTTGATAAACGGTGAATGAAATAACTAATCCCATACCTGCTTTATTCCCTTCAATACAGCTTGAACTTTTGATGGCTTAACAACTGCTTTCTGCTTTTGGTCTTCGGTTTTTCCACTACCCAATGACAAAACCGGGGTTAATGGAGATGAAACAGGTGTTTCCTCAGAGGAATTTGCTAGCATCTTGGTTGAACTTGCAATTCCCTGTTATGAATTCAAGTAGATAGATATAATTATAACAATACAACTGCATCAACATATATCCTCAACAGACTGCTTTTAACAAGTTGGAAAATAAATCTGAACATACTTTCCTATGAAAATCTTGCCGTGTGAAGAATAAATTCTATGAAAACTGATTATTTCAAGGTGACAAAATAATCTTTTGAGGCGTGTGTAAACACTGGGTCCTCTGAAATATCAACTTACCTGATGTTGAAAGTTATACCAAAACGGCCTTGACATGCTGCCCAAGGGCATTCTCCATGCCGTCTGTACCTGACCTACACAAAAATGACTTTATCATAATCAGACCTCATAAATTCAGGTAATGCAAACCAGAAAACTTGCATGCTAACGGGGACAACAGAGCAAGTCGCAAAGTGATATAATAAAAGAGATAGAACAAAAACTGTAAAATACAATAGAAACTAACCATGTGTAAGTGACGACCCTATGCGAGAAATTACAGTTGTTGCAGCAATAACTTCATTGGCAGGGTTCGGCCTCTTCCCAATATGCCGAAGTATTGGGAGTATATGTCTCTGCCACTGCACCATAACCTTATGCCAGAAATGAATTCTTCCGCCGTAGTGTATCACAGCTGCCAAAAGAAGTAATGGCTGCCAATCACATTCACATTGAAAAGTATTTAAAGAAGCACGATATAACGAGAAGATCGGTGAATAGTGATTTCAAATGGGGGGAAAAAGATGCTGGTGAAAAGGGGATCTGGGTTTGTTGCGATTTTATTATAAGAAGTGTAAAATTTGCAGTCTGAACTGTAAGATGGAAGCTTACTGTTAACGGAGGTAGCTCCCTACTCAGAGCGGCGTCACCATCGGCCAAGGAAGAAAGACGAAAGGACTCAAAACGGAGCTTCATACTGCATTGGAGAATAGTCACTATGATTATTAGTGCGTCCCAAACAGTCCAGTTCAAGCCCATGTAGGCCCACAATGATTGGATCAAGCTATCATGTTGAAATGGACCTGCCCAGTTAAATAATCAACTATTAGCAAGCAAAAAATGGTTGCTACTTAGTTTCTTTTTCATAAAAATATTATTACTGACAAACATAAAAGTCACAAACAAGAAAGAAAATTGTTCAGCAAACATGTAATATCTTTGACAAGAACTCTAGCATGATTCGGACATGGAAGTTGTGCAGAAAGGATTTCATCACTATTGTTATTTATATTTTAATGAAATTCAACTTATTCATAGTTAAAACTTGATTATATGTACCAAGTAGATGTGACACATACGAGAGCGGTGCGGTTCCTTTAAGTTTCATTCCAGGGTTTAACTCCTGGAGGTGTGTAAGAAAAAAAAAATTACTTGAGAGAGAACAATTCCTTAAATAAGGTTTAAATTCTTTTAGAGATTAATTTCACGACTGCTAGCTGTGGAGATACTTTGAGAAAAAAACACTTGATTATATGTCATTTAAAAATATCTATTTTTGATCCAAAATATCTTTTTTTGGATCATTTAAAATATCTCAAATGACAACAGTGAGATTTTATATAATTAAAAGTCCATGGACACGAGAGGAACAAACCCAACGAGAGGAAGAAAAAAAATCATGGACAACCACACACTAAGCAACAGGGTGTAATGAATCAAAAGACTTCTTTCACTAACACTCCAGAATCATTGCCACAAAACGAAGCCATTTGAAGAATAGATCAGACGACAATACAGATAGTGGTCACTTTCTTGTTCCTAAAAACATCAGTGAGAGTCACTTTTCATAAGTTAAGATATAATTTTATTTTTAAACTATTCACAAAGAAGTAATGTTGTCCATAAACTACTCATTGTAGCAATATTACCCTTAAACTAATTAAATTGGAGCAATATTGCTATTGCCATTTAAACGTCCGTTGTTATAGTTAGTGGGGCTCACTTTTCATAAGTTAACTTGTAATTTTGTTTTTAAACTATTCTCAGAGGAACAATATTACTCTCGCTATTTAAAAATCATAAATATCCATTAACTATAGTTAATAGGACTTACTTTTCATTATCTCTCTCTAGTTGACATTGAATCAAGTTAGGATTTCAACTAGACTATAGCATTGTTGAATTGATTTTTGGGTAACCACTTTATGATGGTCTATGTATAAGCTTTTTGTTTATAATACATATGAGATAGTATAGTTATTTATAATAGTCAATTTTATAGGTTGATCCACTCAAGACAATAAGAAGCGATATTTTTACTCAAAATGTTGTTTATATGCTTTTTGTTGAATCAAGAGCTCTTCTTGTAGTATTGTCAACGTGAATTTATATTTCAACTATTGTCATATTTGTTGCTAAAAAAAATTATTATAAAAATTAAGTTTCTTTTCAATGTATAGTTCATAACTTGTTGGAATGTTGGTGGAGAATATCATGACACAGAGAAATGCTTTTACATGAATATTGGGTGTTAAAAAGGATGTGAATGGAATGGTACTAGTACAAAAAGTACTTTTTATTATCTCTCTCTAGCTAATAGACTTTTATGATTTTTAAACGGTGGGAGCAACATTACTCCGATTTAATTAGTTTGATAAGACATTGCCCTTTTGAGAGTAATTTAGAGGCAAAATTATACCTTAACCTATAAAAAGTGAGTTTCACTAACTACAGTTAATGAACATTTAAATAGCAGGGAAAATGTTGCTTCGATTTAATTAGTTTAGGAGCAACATTGCTTCTCTGAGAATAGTTTAGGGTAAAATTGCAACTTAACCCCTGGAGAGAATGGTGAATGGATGAAAAGTATGAGCCATGTTTGATCTATAAGATTTCTACATATGGAAATGGAATTGAACATGAAATTTGAATTTTAACATGTTTAGTATGCTAGCATCTGGATTCCCAAGAATTATGATTCTAACAAAATGGCCAAAATTGGATTCCATCACAAGCATAATGGAATTGGCTCAATTCACACAAAATCATCTCTTGGACATTTTGATCCTCACTGTCATCATCGTATTTGCCTTCATAAACCAACTTCATCCCCATCGCCAATATAACATCCTTAATTTTCAAACTGAGTTTTCAGTGTTTAAAAAGCGGTAAATTGGTAAAATTTTGAGAATAATAAGTTAATAATATTTTCAGACTACTAATGAGATTATTAGGTCATTAGATAGCCTTAAAAGAATATAAGATTGAAGTTTTAGTGAATTAGGCATCAAGTAAGGCCAAAATTCAATTTGGCCTTGCTATACCATCAGCCACGACAAATGCACCATGTGCCGTGGAAGATACGCAAAAATATTATTTTATTAGGTCATGCATACATTCAAAAACATAAGAGAAGGAAAGAGGAAATGGGAAGACCAACAAAGACTACTATTATAGCTGCTAAGGCATTATCTTACGGCACTTTAAGGGTGTTTTGAGCAAGAAACATCCTTGGGTAAGTTTCTTTTCACTTCCTTCTCCTTCTATGCGAGATTTTCATAGATTTAGGAATAATAGGTTATTATTTTTTGCTCCTCTTAGGTTTTAACTGAACCCATTGCATTCTTTGGGTCCTTAAGGGGTTAAATCAAGCTTCTAAACCTAAATTTATCAATTTCATAGTGATTTAAAATTTTTGGTTAGGGTTTAAACGAACCCTAGGTGAGAATTGAAAGATTGGGAGTAATGTGAGTGATGAATTGATGTTATCTGAGTGGGTAGGTGTTAAATAAAATTAATGGAGTATGTTGAAAATGTTACTTGTGTTTAAAAGGGAATTTGGGTACCCAACATCAGGCTAAAAAAGGGTTTAATTTGAGTTATAATTTACAATTAGTATTTACTCTTGTAGATTAAATATTGATCAAGCTAGATTAAGCTGGTGGTCTCTTATGGAGTTGGTAATTTACTAGGATAACCTTTTTGTGGTAAAAGTGTTAAGGTAATTAGATAATTTATTCATTTTACCTGTCTGTTTGAGTAGTTATAGGCTTGCAAAAATATATTGTTATTCTATCATGAAAATTTTGAATTATGCATGACTTGTTAATGTTTTGAAAAACTCATGCGAAATGGTATTAAACTAAAATGTTAATTTATACATAAAACCATTTTTACATGTATTTGTAAAAATTGCAAATTAGATATGAATATGGAATACCAGTATGTTGTACAATCATCTTTTGTGAATGATATGTATCATTGTTGTATAAGCATGATCATTATGAGAGGGTGAAGTTCACCTTAGAATTGTCATGGAATATTGTATGAAATCTATATAATACACTAGCACTGTAGAGACCCCAGTGCACAGTCTCTCTTGTTGAGAAGTTCCAGTACTATTTGAAATAGATTGAGCATACGATACCCTAAATATCTAAAAGGAGGAGAATTTGTACTCCAAAATGAGTGAAGGCGCCTTTGGCTGAGGCTGCCTTTCATTATTAGTGAGCTCAAGCCAATCCAATCATATGGCCTTAGTCTTATTGTGTTGTTAGCTTATAGATTTAGTCAGAGGAAATAAAGGAAGATATAATGTGGAGAATATTGATCATGCATTGTATGAGTTGTTTTATGATGATCATGTGTTTGTTAAGTATCTAATAAATGTTTTACTTGCCACTTCCCGCACTTATATGATATTCTTGTATACTTGAAAATATATTAGATTATTTGATTATTGAGCCCTTGACTCACCCCCATAGTTATATTTTATAAATGAAAATTCTGATAGTAGCAAAGGGAAGAAGGACTCTGTTGGGATTTGAGGAGCTTAAGTTTGTAAAACTCTTCTCCTTTCTTTGGGTGTTTTGTAATGAATTAATTGTATAAATATGCCAACTTAAGATTATATATTGTTTTAGGATCACTTTATAAGACTTTATTATTTGTGGATATCTCAGCCAAGGATAATATAATTGTAAAGGGTTGAGATACTAATGTAAGTATCGTTATTATTGGTGGTTACATGTGTTTGAATGGTTAAGAGATTATTATATGTGAAATTTTTCCACCCCTTAATCTATGTAAAATTAGGGTTTTATAGGCTATATTGTGTTTGGAATGTGTGTGATATTGTACAACTATTCAATTAGGTGTGTTGTGATCCAATTAAATTGGAAGTGATCCCAGAGTTATTGGCACTTGGTTATCAAGCTTGGACACCCTTAAGTTTATTTTGAAAGGAAAAGGGATAATTTTGTATCTAGTTGTCCAACTTTAACATGGTAAAGTATTTGGTTATAAAATCGGTGCTAATACTAGATAGCTTAAAGAGTTATGTGTGAGCACTTGAATTGCTCAAATTAGTTATCAGACGGTGAAATGACACATTTTAGAAGTTGTATCATGACAGTAGTAATGCACTATGGTGTATTGTACATTAAGAGGACTCTCTTCTCTAGGCTATCCACTATAGTAGATGACACATGCATCGTGGTGGATGGTGTAATTTAAGAAGTTCCTAAATTGCCCTCCTTTGATCATTGAATGGCTTAATTTATGTTTCAATGCTTTTGTTACTTCTTTTCACTTTATTTTAAACTATGGTTTGAACTCAAACATTCTTTCAAAAAGGTTTTTTGGAATCCCAAAGTTTTAAATTTGATTTTAAACCCTTGTGTTATGATAACCTAATATAAGGAATTAATTAATCTTGATTATCATAATAGTAGTGTGTGTTATGTTCTAGTAATGTCACGGTGGACATTACAGCCAACATCTCGTCCATGAATCTAACCTCTTTGTTGCCTCCACTCAAAAGTTGTGAATCTAAGAGAAGAGTTGTCAAACATTCATCGATGATGACAGTGATCTTAGTGGTTGTGGAATTGATGGCCGAATGAGTTGTAACTGGCGTCAGTAGTGATTGATGGCAAGATAGAAGTTGATTCTTCCTACCTAGCAATGTCTTAACTTTGATTTTCCTCTATCTAGGAATGTCTTCAAC